TATATCCTGATAAATGAATCCATTCTTTATGATACTCTCTACGGTATGATCTTTTGGGAAGAACGCGACTTGTAAGGGGCAGGGAGCCGATAGGGGCCAGATAATTTTTGTTTTTTGCTTTCCCACCCATCCTCTTTTGATTCCCACCTCGCGGCGGGGTCTTGTGGTTGGAAGAGCACAAAATTTTCCACTTCGCAAGGAAGAAACATCATCCATCTGAATAGACTGCGTCGTTTCACGAGAGTAGCTTTCCGAAAACACATGTATTTACTTGGAGCAAACATTGAGGATGTGGCGAAGCCGCTGCCTCTCCATTTACCCCTTTTCTCCGTCTTGCTTGATTTCTTTAGATAATTTTAGGATTTGGGCAGCGGTCCAGGCGATTATTCTCTCTTGTCTATTCTTGTGAAGCCTAGCGCAAAGAATATTTATTGAGGGAGGAATTTATGGGTGGATTCATGGATTGGGCGGTGTCCACGAGACAGACACGACCACATTCTGAGGCGGAGTGGTCCAGCGGCACTTTATTCACTTTGTCTTTGCCCAGCGAATAGCCCGCCATTGAGCCACCACGTGGGCGGCGAATTTGTTGCAAGGCGGGAACAAGACAAAGGAATGAATTGCACCTCGTTGCGACACTCTGTCGCTGCCATCACCGCGCCGAGGAACCCTGAGTCCATTCAAGCCTCTTTTGAGGGGGAAGAAGCACACCGCTGTTTGGAACAATTGGGCGGCACTTGAAGGAAGGCAGTTGGCGCTGCAGCGCCCATATGAGTGCGCTTGGGCTTGGTTGGAGGAGCAAAAATACTGAAATGCAGCTCAGATGCCCACGCGCAGTTCCAGGCGGTGCGGATTCGATTGGCGCCGATGCAGGAGTTGCTCATGGTCATCAATGGGACGACAACTTGGCGACCATCAGCACTCCGCAAGGCCCGTCACAAGTCTCCACCGCTCCTGCCACGGGAAGTTGGAATGCGTCCCATACGGCAGAGACAATCGAAAGATCCTACAAATTCATGACGTGCCAGAGGGATTAGAGCTGTTACTCGGCCCACGGGGCACACGGGAGACCAAGTGGGGAATCCGTGTGAGGCGGGGACTCGTACGGAGGATTGCAGTCGCACCATTTGACGGCGTATTGAAATGCATGATGGATGCAACGCCTGGCCACGGCTCCTGGATGCGTCTTGGGCCACCTTTGCGACGCCGGGTGCGCCAGATCCCGGCATGCAGACAGCCGTGAGGGGAACGGTGTGTCCTGGGCGTGCGCCATTCGCGGGGAGGAGTTGCTCATGGAATCTTGCCAGTTGTCAGGGCGACTGCGTACACTCAGTCAAATGGATCCTCGGGACAGTGAAAAACGATGCTGGAGTGCGGGTCGAGGATGTTCAGGGTGCTGTCGAAATGCCCAGAAACGGGACCGCCCTTTCCCCCAGGCGGTTCAGAGAGCAAAGAAAGGGCATGCCGCACCCCCGCCCAATGAAGCACGATGCCGCAAACGTGGTTGGATTGGACAACACAGCACGGCGTGCCGAGTGAAGCTGCGCAAGGAGGCCTATAAACACACAAAAAAGGACTTTTGGCTCCGGAAGCAATGCCTTCTGGGCCGGCACAGGCGGGACATCGTCATCAATGTCCGGGTGTGGCCACGCGGCATGGTTTTTCTCTCAACGCTGCGCTCGTGGTGATGCCGTGGGATACCTCCCCAAGACGTCGTGCGGTTGACACCTTTGGTGGAAACGAGTTGGCGCACCGGGGGAAGGTGCTGTGGGCACAATTGTCGCCGGGGAAGGACGGCACACGACCATCTTTTCTGAGGGCCACAGCATCGTTTGGCGCACCCATAGCCGTCGGGTTGCGTTGCGGGAGGAGGAGGATTGCTTGTCCCTGGCGACGAGTGGACGTGTGCGCTTCATCCCTGAAGTGGATCCGACGGCGGATGAATCCAACGGCACGCGACTGTGTTGACGATTTGTGGAAGGACACTGTGTTACGATCCGTCATTTAGACGAGCGATGGGAAAGAAATGAATTTGAGGATCTCCGCACAGCATGCGCTGCTTGTGAAAAGGGCGGGTATTATTTGTAGAGCCATGAAAGGGCCTGTCGCGGGGTGGGCCGGCGGTGCTGGACAAGCCGTCAGGGCGGGGATGGCGGTTCATCGCATGGCCAAAGGCACGGAACGCCCATGAGGACGCCGGGGTCATGGTTGCTCTGCCATTTCACATTTCCCAGTATCTTAGCGCATTATGGGACGAAGCCGCCGCTTTACTGGACTTGGTTGTGCCTTTTTACAGGCGGCTCTTTTGGCGGATATGCACGGGCGAGTTTCCGCTGTCGAGTGAGATTTGTGGATCTCGTAGAGTTGACTCGCCTCCACACGGGCCACGAGTGTTGTCCGGAAGTTCCCCGCACCGCTGCGAGGGTCTTGGCGGAAGGCCCCGAGATGGTAAGACCGCAGTCTGTGGTGCCGCGCGTGGTAAGGGCTCCTGTTTGGATTAGCAGTATCCGGACCAGCGGGCGGCGGAAGAGCGTGGTTCGGCGGGACCAATGTGCGGCCAAGAAGTGGCGCCAACAGGAGAACAGGAGGTCCTTGCCAAGTGGTGTGAATCTATTGGTGTATCGTTCAGCCGCGCGACGAAGAGCGCCGCCTTGAGGCACGATGCGAATACGAGGATTGAGGGAGGCGGTGTGTCTCCGAACGCATGCGGCTGAGGGTGTGGATGGTGTGGCTCCCGTAATTTGCTGTGCGGTGGTGCGGAGAACATTTCTCGAAAATACTTTTAAAAACGGAGAATTAATCCGTGTATTTGATTGGAGAAGCATTCCGAACGAGCAGGACTGGGCATCCTCACATGTGTGTCGACGATTTGACCGTTTTGCACCCAGTGGTTAAAGGGAAGGATGCGCTTGGAAAGCCTTAGTGCCGAAGCTGTTGCCGTTGATGAGCTTTTGCGCAATCACGGTGTGCTAACCAAATGGCGATACGCGAACTTAGAAGGCTTCCTTTGAGGAAGTGCTATTAGGGGTATGGATATGGAGAAGGGGGACTTTGGGTGGCGGTGGAATGCGCTTTAGGCAACTGTCTTTTTGCCATTACCTAGTGGTCATTAAAAATGAGGAGTTGTTTTTGAATCTGTGTTGGGTATTGCATTAATGTGCGTGAGTGAACAGTAACGATACGGGGGAAATACATTGTGATCCCTCTATTCTTCTCATTTTTTAAAGGGAAAAGTGGGGCATAGAATATTCTTGTATTTATTTATATATTTTTTTGTGTGCGTATCTTGTTTTCGTTGTTGTTGTCTGGCCACCCATACGTGCATACTTGAAGCGTCTGCAGCTAGCAAAGGTGTGGTGAAGAGATGTGGATGCCTCTCTGTCTTCTCATGTGTCTGGCCGTTATCATCATGGGCGTTGCGGCAGTCGATTTTTGTCCCGAGGATGGTATTTTGTACCGTATTGCAGTCGGGGATACGGTGTATGGTCACGTCAGCAGTCCGACCGGTGAGTCGTGCGCGCTCGCGTCACTGCGCATACTTGTTCCACCTCCTCCGTCAAACCTTCTCCTGCTGACCGGCGGGTGGCAGTATCTTTTTGGCGCGGTGGTCGAGGGTGCGCTCCCCGCTAAAGTGACATTTTCAATTATTGCTCTCTGCGACGGTATTGAGGTTTGCCGCGCAAATATTCGCTGTGAAGTTGACCTGAACGCCTCGACGGATGTCCCTCCGACGCCTACGGAGTCTTCAACAACCACGACCACAACGAAAACGCCATTGTACCCGCCGTGCGCTGCATCTCAGGACGAATATCAACTGGTGATTTTGCCTGGTAAACCGAATATTGCAACATTACCTACCAGCGCTGTACAAGTGTTCTGTCCTGTTGGCCTCCAAGCATCCATCACCCAGCCCGTAATTGGTTCTGCTGCCGTGCTGGGTCCAAATTCCTTGCAGTTTGTGTATGCTTCTCCGGATGACGAAGTGGAAGCGAACATCACGCTCCCCTATGAAGTTAAGTGTGACAGGAAAGTGATATGTGCAGGCGTGATGAGAATTTGGCTTCACGAAAATATTTTACGGTGCCCGAAGGATCACCTGTTGTACGATGTGAAACCGGGGGCACGACTAAATGCGACCCTCGATACTGGTGCCTCGTGTGGTGGTGCTCTGCGTGCGCGTCTTCGAACGCGGAATGCTGCAGACATCAAGTTTCATGATGGGGTATCCTTTACATTCAATGCGTCCGGTAAAGAAGAAGATGTGATCTTAAACGCTCGTTTGTATTGCGATGACGTGACTCTCTGCGATGTTACATTTGCCCTTATCGTCACAAATGAACCACGGCCGAGCCCTACAGAAGCCCCACATACAGATTCTACTCCGGCTCCAACTGCCGCTCCTATTGCCATTTGTAACGAGCAGTTTAATTTCACTGTACCGGTAGGAACAGAGTTGCGAGGCAAATTGCACGTAGAGGTCGATGGATGCAGCCTTGTGACGTATCATCAGTCTCTTTATTCCTCCAGCAAGAACCTTCAATTAAATATTATTGGCGATTTTGTTTACTCGGCCCCAGCGGAGGAAGCTGTTGATAAGCTTCCAGTTGATGTTTCATGCGTCATTAAATTTTGGTGTCGTACTTACATCACAATTACTTCTTACATCGATTTGACGCCGACAGATTCTTCCACTACTCCAGCACCAACCACTGTGCCCGTCCCGGCGTGTGCTAACGTGTATTATTACCAAACGGCGCCTGGTGTTGCCTTAAGCGACTCTCTTAACGGCATGCCGGGGCAGGACCCATGTGCATATGGTCGCTATTTTTCTTTGATTCTTCCGCCTAGCGTGGGAAAGCTGGATTTGACTCCTATTGGTGACTTTCTTTATCGTCCCGAAAGAAATGAGGGGTCATGCCACTTTTCCTTTAGCATGTATTGTCTTAATAAACTGTATTGTCAGGGCAATGCCTACATTCTTGTGAGCATTGAACGGACATTACCTCCAAGTGGTGGTAAGAACGGGAGTTCCACTCCTGCGCCGTCGCCCCCAAGTGAGGTGAAAAATAAACAGATTAAATGCCGAGGGACATGCAATGAAAAAGCATGGAAAACTTATCCTAACCCGGCGATATGGGATAATTCACCTGGTGCTGGTTACGCACGGCGTGACGGTCACGCTGTCGATGAGATTCAGGTGGCTTGGATGAACAACTCTATCGTTATTACTGTGTACACAATTATCGGCAACCTTGGTGTGCGCTTTCCGACCTTTGAACCTCTTAATCGCACTGTGGGAAAGTACTTTGAGCCGGAAGATTTTGAGGGGGTTGTACAGCCATCGTCGCTAGGTTTTGAGCTGAGCTGCTTGGCCAATCAAGGCTCCATTGGCATGGGCGAAGATGTGTGGCACTGGAAAACTCTTGGAAACGGGACTGGGAGTGGATCCGTTGGGGCATTATACAATAAGGGCACGTCATGGTATCAGAAGTTTGGTGGAAAGCACATTGGGTGCGATACTTTTGTTAATTCATGCATTTATGCTCCCTTGCTCACTCCTGCCTTACCCAACACCACCGTTGCTGGCCGATGGGAAATTGATATTGATGACTGTGACGCCACATGGACAGGGACTTTTCCATACGCCTCCTTGGAACAGTTAAAGAATTCTGACGGCAACCCGGTTTGGTACTTTGTTGGGGACAAGCAGATTAAGAGTACGATAATATCCGAGGCTGTCCGTGCAAATTCTTGGATTGAACCCGCACGGAGCTTTGATACCCAATACGAGGCACATGATGTTATTTTTGACCTAAAGCAATTCATTGTGGTGAAAAAGCTAGCAACGGCACCATTTTCGATTGATTCTGAATACTTTGAGTACACAGAAAACGGAGATTTTGCCTTTGGCGTAAATCTATTACTGCATCCGTACGTGACCGAAGATATGAAAACAAGTTACGCAGCTGACCGTCACGTCGAGGGATTTAAATGGATTACTCAGGAATGGGTTGCTCCAAACGCGCAACATTGTACCACCTGCAAAGGAATTAAGTCTCACTGTAGTGCCGAAGGAAAATTTGCGACTTCTACCTATATAGGTGAGTTTCCTTCGGGGGATTGCCCACCTGGGACAAGTATTGTTGAACTGCGTAAAGGTCCCGCTATGGACGGTAGTATATGTTCACTCAATCGGATGCATGTTTACAATCGTTCTGGCTTTTCTGTTCCAAAGGGTTGTGCGACATGGTATCAAAACCTTACAATTCGAGGAGTTTCTATTGGCAGTGGGGCTCTTCCTGATGCGTTAAAGCGAGCTTTCAGCTATGAGGGACGTGTGATGTTGCAGCTGTTGATGACAGACGGAACGAAACATGATGTGGCCATGGACCTATCCATGTATGTGACACGTTTGTCGCAAGATTCCTATGCTGCACCGGGTCGTTTGGGCGTGTGTCGTGGCTCAGACTACTGGCCTGTGTTGGACCCCCTTGGCGTTTCTCTTCCTGACAGGCCGTTTGAGCTAAGTACGGCCACCCCTGGTCCACTTTGTATTGACATGCTTAGCTCCACTTTTGGTCCAAGTGGGTGGGCCACCGTATTTCTTCAACTCTCCGGCGTCCTCAGTTCCCAACTGAATGTGCACACCATAGTTTTGAAGTACAAGAGCACCAGTGTTTTCCTGCACTATCAAGATCCGGCCACCGGCGCCGTGGCGATGCCTCCAAAAACACTGGGGCATTGGTGGCAGCATACCCATCCCTTTTTGAGTTTCCGTCCATTAATTAACAGGGTAAAGAACGACACCTTGACGATTGGTCCAGAATTAAATCCATCTGAAGTGACTGATGTACCGTTTGCCTTTGCGTTTATTCCTGGTGCCATCAACATTGATACAAACGTGGAGATTATTTTGACAGCTACCATCACAACGGATGTTGTGAGCAAAAGTTCCTTTTGCCGCACAATACATGTGGACCCGATGATGACGCAGCGGAGCCGCTACGGACCTCCAAGGGGAGCAGACACGGAATTACCGAATAACATTAGAAAGAGCGCCCTGGAAGTGGGTGTCTTTGCGGGGCTGTCGATTGCACTGACCATCACCGGCGTTGTATACATGACGATGGACAACAATAGGCCATTGCCCAGGTGGGTGCCTCGTGGCAAACTTATAAAGGATACGGTACTCGCGGCTGTACCGGCCGGGCTTCGACCCGCAAAAAAAAAAAAGCGGATTGTGCACAAGGACATGTACGACGCCATGAAGTCGGGTAGGTACTGAGTTGCCCCCTCGTCCTTGCTTGCCACTGTCTCCATACCCGACGCCGAAGAAACAAGACCCCGATAATAAACCGGAAGGTAGAATAATAAACAGGGAGAACAGAAGTGGGAAATTGAAAGATAGCCGGGAAGTGGGGGGACTGTTGTGTTTTGTTCTTCTTTCACTTGCCACGGAAGAAGCATGTGTACATTTTTATATTTTCCTTCATTGGAAATAAAAAGAATAAAAAAAGGAAGGAGATGGAGAGAGAAGGAATGGCAAGGAAAAATGGGTGAAAAAAAAAGAGAGAGAGAGAGAAAAAAAAGATGGACCTAAAAGATGGTAGATAACGCCGTGGGACAAAGCCGAGGGAAGGAAAGAGACATGAAACATGAATTCAGACGCAAAAAAAAATATCTGAGCGTTTTATTTTTGTTTTGTTGTTGTTGACTCCATTTTACTATTTTAAGAGTTTTTTACTTTATTATGTGTGATGCCTGGCTGTTGTGCCTGAAGAAAGTGGAGATGACATGCGTCTCGTGTACCATTGTGTTTAAAGTGCGTGCGTGACTCGCGCTCCTTCTCTTCTTTCTTTTTTTTCCTTTACCGGATGGTATACATGTATATATGTCTTTTTTTTTTTTTTTTTTTTGGGAGAGGGGCAAGGAATTCTTTAATTGTTTTCCACATGTCTTTTAGTTACGATAATGTGGTTGCACAAGGCGAGAGTTTCATGGCGGACGGCCGCCGGCAGGCATTTGAAGTCCCTTCATGTGCGCAGACTGCCGTCTTGAAGTCAGGGCAGTTGCAGCAGAAACATGCAAAAAACACAGAGTCCCAAACGGAGGAGTGGCATTTGTTTGGTCAAAGCAGCCCGAGGTCCCGTCGCACACCACAAAAGCAGAGGGCGGTTCATACTCCCCCCACGCCGCGGGGACGGCGCTGGGGTTCGCCAAATTCCATGAATCGTTCTGAGTCCACACAGCGTTATATGTCTCTCCCCAGTATGCGTTGCAAGTACTGTTTCCGCCCACTCGCTCCAGGCGAAACTGCCGAACATGACCGTTACTGTTCTCTGAAACCATTGGCGTGTACAAAAATTGACTCAAAGACAGGCACAGTTTGCGGCTATATATGCCGCGGCAGGAATATGCTTCTCGACCACGAGGCCCATTGCCATGCGAAAAAGTCAAGGCCCCACACACACTGTAAGGAAATTCCGGAGCACCATGTAAAGGCTGTTGTCAATGACTCCCATATCAAGTCTGGCACATCAGAGCGCTTAATGTGTTCTTCTTGTGGTACCTTGGTCAACTACCCGGCAGCTCTGGCACGGCACAGGATGATTTGTCCTGAGGTTGAAGTTTTGTGCCCTCTCATGTGCGGTAAAACATTTCGTCGTGGTGAGGTTGCACAGCATGTGAAACAGCAAGCGCTTGAGCATGCACCAATGCCTGTCCCAAACTTGGCTAACTGTGCCGGCGATGATCCAAAAGTTGTGTTGGCTCTTGTTATGAATATGCTATTGGAAAGGGCAGGGATTTTTGGTGAAGGGGGCCTGAATACACAAAGAAGCAATGAAACACCGTCACTGGGGTATTACGTTTCAGGTTCGCATTCATCCATTCTTGAGACAGGCCGCATCTCCGACTCCGGCCGCCCTTCTTTCGTTCCTCCGAAAAGCGCCCAGACTAAATTGGCGATGACCTCTAGTCCACTTATTGACCAAAACCATTGCTTTGATAATTCTCCCCAATCGGCATTTAGTTTGCCTGAAAAGATGCCAATACCGCGTCTAATAGTTCCAGAGCCAACTGGACGTGGCGAGAACTGCGGCTCTTCTGTTAACAAGCTCGCTGGTATGCCCGTTTACGTAAAAGATTTTTCTTTTCTGCGAATGAGTCTTCTACGCGCTCCCCGCCACGGTTAGCCTCCACAAATGGATACATCCGTTGCTTAGCCGAGGCGTTTTCCGGGACTGGCGAGTGATTAAACCGTCGCACTGTCTGCTGTGGTAGCTCATGGGATGGATGAGGTCTTACATGCCATGGGACTTCAAAATCAAGGTGTTGGCTGTCTGAGGGCAAAGTATAAATCACAAAATAAAAAGGATCAGGAGGAAAAGGGAGCGGCAGCAATATATCTTGTTGGTAGAATACAAGAAAAAAAAAAAAAAAAAAAAACTTTGCAAGCGGGTGATGAAATATTTTTACCGAGAGAAAGAAAACCCGTAAAGGTGGGGTGATATAGACGCTGAAAAACTGGTGACCTCTCGATGGGAACAGGTACGAGTTGAAGTTTGTCGTTTATGACCACACAATATTTTTTTATGCTTAGGATGCTTCACCGTTATTATTATTATTATTATTTTCAGCTTCTGAGGTTCGCGTTGTAGCGGCTGACAGGTCCCAACCTCAGAACTTTGAACGACATTAGAATTGGCATATTTATTTATTTATTGCTGGATTGTAATATATATATAGTGTGTGTGTGTGTTTGTGCTTGTGCTTGTAATTGTGCTTGTGGAATTTCTTTTATTTTATTTTATGGCTGTCCTTGCCATTGCCTATTTTTTACTGCTTTTGTCTTGACTCTTGAGCGCTTCAGCATTGGCGGCCGTCATATAAGAGCGGGAGACCTTCTCCTTTAGGCAATAGGCGGGGTAACATGCATGGTTTGCCTACAAGCTCATCCAATAAACTGAACGGGACGATGCGCTGCGTGGGAGGACTCGACACAATCACACATGTTGTCTCACAGGGGGGAGAACAAAAAAAGTATATATATACACACACACATGATAAGAAGGGACAAAACGCCTTGAGGTATTCATAAAAACATATACATATGAAAAATGGGAGGGTAAAGGGTGCCCCTCCATTCCCCCACTTCACCTCACCTCACTCACCGCAGAAACAAACAAACAAAATTAAACGAGGTAAAGAAAGAAGAAAATGATTTCCGCACTTTGTTCAGGTACCGGCTTTTTTTGTTGGGACACCGTTTTTATGGGTTTGTTTGTTTGTTTGTTTGGAAGAATTATGGTTTTCCCTCCTCCCCCCTATACTGTTTTTCTAATCATCTGTTCTGCGGTCTTTATGGATTCAGCATTGATGCATAAAGCACGCAAGAAAACAAAAGTTTTTTTTTTTTTGCTCTCTTTTTTTTCTGCTAGAAAATAAATAAATAAAAACGGAACCCACAAACATGAGCAGGAATCATCTTTTTTTTTTTTTTTTTTTTTTTTTTTTTTTAAATAAAAATAGAAAGAAAATATGAAATAACGTTAGTGACAGGTGGGGAATATATCGCATTTCTTCCTTGAGCGTTTAGTCAATGTGCCTGTGGTGTCATCCGAGCCTCTCCTCCGTACGAACGGAGGGTGAAGGAGTTGAGCGGAAAGCATGCGGGGAATGAAACTGAAGTGATTTCTCCTCGTTCACACACGCACACGTACATATACACACCTCAAAATTTTCGTTTTGCTTCTTTTTTTGCATTTAGTTTTGCATAGCAGCGCAAACTCTAGAGGTAAGCGAGGGGGAAAAGAATAACAAAACAGAATTTGCATTCTGTGCAATGAGACGTATCATTGGCAGGTGCATGCCGAAGCCGTCTGTAACGCTTCCGGCATCGTCTTTACTGACGCAGTCAGGACTGGGCTCTTTGATTGTCGCAAATATCGCCATTCCTTTCCACAGAGAATCCACGCTGTGCATCACAGTTCGGTGCTCATCTTCCACTGCAGCCGACGCTACGAGTGTGAAGAAAACGAAACGAGGGCGAAGGAAACCCACAACGAGTGAAGTTAAGTTTGCTGCTGCCGCTACTGCTACTGCTGCTGCTTCAACCAGGGGAAAGCGGGTGACGAGCAGAAAAGCCACCGAAAATAAGCGCGCTGAGAGTGCCATGGAGGGAGAGGAGGAAGATGAACTCAGTCGTAGTGCTGTGTTTGATGCGGGGGTCGACGAGGCCATGGATGGAGGCCAATTCATCTGGGAGGAGGAAGAGCAATGCAGAATGCAGGAGTTTGATAAACGTGAGGTGGCAGAGGAGGGGTTAAATTCCTTCCGTCATCGCCGGCCTCGTTCTCGTCAATCATCAGCTCGAACGGTGGCCAACGATAATTTGTTGGACGAAGAAGACGAGGCCGGTGACGAAGAAAGAGGAGCCTCTGCCGGCACCTCCGCTGTCGAGGGTTCTTCGCCGACATTGGAGGAGGAAGGTCGACTTTTGGAGGATCGCTTTCCAGATTTGGCGGCAGAGTACGACACGGATCTCAACCATGTCCCATTGGCTGAGGTTGTCGTTGATAGCGCTCAGGTGGCATCATGGAAATGTGTGGAGTGTGGATTTAAGTGGGAAAGTGGTGTTTTTGTGCGTACCTGTCTTCGAACAAAGTGTCCACAGTGCGAGAAGGAACGTAATCCACGTTTGGGCGGCCGCTTTGTTCAACTTTGGGATCACTCCCTCAATGACCCGTGCATTGATCCAAAAGCGGTGGCAGCGAGCAGCAACAAAACAGCGTTTTGGCATTGTCCAAGCTGTGGTAACAGCTACCAGGCACGAATAAAAGACATGGTGGCGGAAAAGGCGAATTGCCCATCGTGCTCCTTGTTGAGCCTTCACGCTGACTTCAGCAAGGATGAGAATGGGTTGCTGCAGGAGTGGCACCCTCTGAAAAACGGTGATCTACAACCAAGCCAGGTGAAGCCAAACGATCACACCAAGTTGTGGTGGCTTTGTATGGCCTGCGGGCACGAATGGGAAGCCACGCTTGCCGCTCGACTCACCCGGACCAGGCGCGCTAAGGGAAAGGAGTGCCCTGTTTGTCATGGCAGGGGAAAGGAATGAGGTTAATCTTGGCAGCTACATGTTCACAGGAAACAACATCTTTATTTGTTGTGCGTAACATTTTTCCGCATCTAGAGTCAAACCCGGATGGCGGAATTCAACGATTGAGGGTGAAAAAAGGAGAGGGAGAGAGAGAAAGAAACCAGGGCAGAGTAGAGCAGTGTATTGCTATACCATATAATAACCATATATACACAAGAAAAACGGGGGAAACTCGTTGGTACTATGGGGCTTGATGGCCTTTTTTTTTTTTTTTTTTTTGCGTTGCAGCTGTGTTCTTCCACGACTCTTTGTTCCCCCCCTGTTTCTTTTTTTTTTTTTTTTTTTTTTGTTTCTTGTTGTTGTTTTTCTTTCTTTTTGGTTTGTGTGAGTGGCGGATGCGTCAATGTCTACCCCTTGTGCGTTTTTGTCATATGCGCGTGGGCAACGCCTATAAATAGAGTGGCAGATGACATATACGAAAAAAGAGAGAATAAAATAACAACGGAAAACACTAAACAAAAAATATATATTTATATTTATAAGGACTTTTTGATTATTCACACATTCTAACATATACGCAAGCTTATAAAGTCTGTGAGCAATGAGCATCAGAGAGAATCCGTACAAGGAGTCTATGCGGCGTCTCGTTATTTACGCGGGACTCCCAGACTACGGGAGTACGCGGACGGTGACCCCGCCTCCTTTAACTGGGAAAGGGGCGTTGTACTTCCAGGCCTCGGAATCACCGGAGTGGAAGGCACACTTATTATCCATTCCACGTGAAGAACGTCACAGAGCTTCTGTCCGACGTCGTCTCTGTACACGTCTGTGGTTAGCGGCACAAAATGACTTGTGTTTGTGGTGTTGGTTTACAAAGAGCATGTGCATGTGCTCTCGGATTGAGCATTTTAGGGCGCAGATACTCTCTGATCAGCTGAACTCGGCTGTCAAAGTGACCATGGTCATGCATGCAGCGGAAGTGATGCGAGCAACGAACTCTGGACACATTGCGGCCTTTATTTTGGGGGCGCCTATCCGTGTCTGGGGCGTTGAAGAGGATGACGTGTATCTGCAAGGGCTACCGGCTGTAGACGAGGAAGTTGGCGGCCTCTGCACGGCCTCATTGTACCCAGAGTCTAATGCCATACTGGTGGAGAACTTTGTGCAGAATCTTCAACAAGGCCAGAAAGTTCACTTGCTTCTTTCAGATGGAACATGGGGTCAGGCAACCTCGCTTAACAGACACATCCCTCGACATATTCCCCGAGTGGCACTGGATGTGGATGGGTCGTACAAGTCGCTTTTTGAGGCATTACGGAAAAGGACAAGGGAAACGGGTGTTTCGACGCTGGAGGCCACTGCCATGGCCATGGAACAATGCTTAAGGGGGCTAAATAGTAATTCCACAGAAGGTGTATCGTCTGTCCTGCCTGTCCTGACAACAGTCATGAAGGAATTTGTGGACCTAAGGTGCCTATTGAAGTTTCGGGATGTTTGCTTTGCTGAGGGCATGGATGAAGTTTCCGGCATAATTAAAAAACGTGACGCCTATCGTCGTGACGCGTCGCTTGAGCGTCTTCGGGTGTTACATACGAAAGCTGATGAAGATCCCGAGGTACGAAAGCAACTTCTTCCACCCGTCTTAAACTATTGCTACGCATGCGATGTGGCGGTGGGTTGGCATCGTATGGTGGAGCACGTGCTGGGTAGAGTCCACCAAGAAGGGTTTAAAAAGGGCGTGCCTCGTACTCCTGGTGAGAAATCACGAAGCTGTGTCTGTGCGTGGTACGCCAACAGTTTGAAGGGGTATGAGGACTCCAATTGAACGCTAAACTACTTCTTTCTCATAATATCCTTTTTTTTTTTATTTATTTTTCTATTTGTTTGTTGTTGTCGTTGTTCTTGTTTTTCTCGCCTGCCTCTTTACTACCACTACTACTTTTCATCCACTGTGCCAAGCAAGCCTCATCTTACACTGTGTGAGCTTTCTAGGGCCGTATGAACAACTCGCCACAGGCTCAAGAAGGGAGCTGGTTTTTTATATTGGATGCCCCTGTCGCTGTCCGTTGCCTGCAACCCGTTTTTAGGCCCGGTAGAGATGATGTGTCTTCGATGCCCGTCGTTTTGCTCTCTGACCAAAAAACGGGGAGACTGCGAGCGTTTGACTCAAAACTACAGTTTCCCTGTAGTGAACCGATGCCAACTCCTGCGGAGATTACCTCGCCACCCTTTTCATCGGCCGCTTTTGAACAGGAACCTGCTATCAATAGGGTTCTCTCCCTCTGTGTAGTCGAAGCGAACGCAGTTTGGGCGGGATGGTCATCGGGACACATTGCAGTCTATCGCATGCACCTTGAGGATGCTTCAAAGGCCTCAACTAACGCATTCACACCGACCACAAGAGAAATGAGGACTTGTGATAGACAGTGGGAGGTGGTGAGCCTTCTTCACGAGCACCGTGCGGCCGTCCACCTTCTTGCTACAGGACCGTCTCCATGGGTTTTCAGCGCGAGTCACGATATGCGACTGATTCAGTGGCATGCGAAGACACTGGAACCTATTCGAGACCTGACGAGGGTTTGTCGTGTCCAAGAACAGTACAGACCTTCGCCCATCAAAATGATCTGCATGGCAATGGGCTGTTCCTGCACGACAAGCCTCTCGCGGCCACAGGGTCACTTTGTGCTGTTCTTTTCCACTGACCAGAAGACCTTGTATGGTGTCTCGCTAGGCGGTCCGCAGAGAGCGAATAAGATAATCTCCGACCGCGATCTTTCGATCCAACGCATTACTTCATCTCGTCCTGCAGTGACGAGTGCCGCTGTACTCGTTGGAGATGGCGAGGATGATGCGGCAGCGGTGATATGTTTGGGCGACGATGAGGGAAACATTTCCTTCACTCCTCTGACAGTGGTTTACAACACGCGTTCCGAGAAAATGTCACGTTCCGCGTCATCAGCACCATTGCCATCATTGACCTCAAACTCCTCAATCCTCTCCGATGCGGAGTATATGCGAGCGGTGTGTGATGCCACACTCACGGCAGGCACGCTGCACATAAACAGAGGTCGGGTCACTGCATTGTCCGTACTATCAGCGCAGGCTGATAGAGCGACAGGAAATATCCGCTACTGCCTTACCGCCGCCTCGTCCAAGAACACTATTACGCTTTTCGCGGTCGATGTCTCTCCTGTATTTTTGGGGGGTCACGTGACTAAATGTACACTCCTCAGCGCTATTCCGACAGAGAGCCCTGTCACAAGTGTGGTGCCACTATTTCCTCCAGTGCGTCAGAGCGCTGTTGCCGTCGCCTTCTCTGTCTTCTCCGACGGATCGGTGGCGGCCCTATTTCAATTCCAAAACACAGTAACGAAGCATGGGACCGACAATCACACGGTAGCAACAGCGGCGTTTGATCAGAAATTTATTCGCTCCGCATCAACGAAGGCGCAGCCGCAACCGCAAAGTGAGTCTCTGGGAGGGGCTCTGCAGGAACAACTGCGTGTCGTTTTAGACGTCGTCTCGGAAACGGGTGTTGTGGTTGAAGAAGCAAATCGAACTCTGGAGGAACAACGACACGAGTTGCGACACATCCGGGCCGCGAAAGACACTCTTTCAGATCAGGTCACGAAGCTTTTAGAGGCGCTGAACCAAAAGAGCGCGGAGGTGGTGACGCTCAAGCAGCAACTTCTCCACATGCAAGAGAGAGGGATGACCGCGGTGGCAAGTGCTAGTGATCTCCTGCAGGATTCGGGGTGCTGTCATCAAAATCGTGAGGACCAACGAGAAGCCCATTGGAGGCAAAAGGAAGAAAAAGAAAAAGAGGGAAAACACGATCAGCAGTTGGGGATAGAGACGGAGCGTGACCTCATTCAAAGCGTATTGCATGATACTGAGGCTCGTTTTGAATCCAAGCTGGACACGTTGCGGCGTGAGAACCGTTTTCTTAGTGAAAGCCTTGAGCAGCTCAAGCAAGAGCTGCATAAGACACGGGAAAAAGAGGATGCCCACAGTGTCCACAACACAAGTGATGTGCTGCGAGACAATAAGGCGGTTCATGTAGGAGAAAATGAGTCGTCGTTGCGTCGATTGTTGGAGCAGGCATTGGGTGCGCTAGATGCCTGATTTCAATGTGGAACTCGAAATCTCCAGTGGCCGTCTCGTTTGAGTCGTGGTTTTTTTTTTAAACTCGAAGCTTCTGCATGCATATTTCTTGTGTGTTTTTCTGTGTGTGTATTTGTTTGTTTCCTCTCCATGCTTGGAAATTATTATTATTATTATCGAAAGCGCCTCACCCCCAAAGCACGGGGAGAAAACACGGAGAAGTGCTGCTGATCACTGTGGCATTGGCAAACACACACACACTTTGCTCCCAAAGGACTGTTGTGCTGAATAAAAAAATATTTTTTCTTTTTTGTGTGTGTGTTTTGTTTTTGTCTTGTAAAAATGATTCAAAATAAATGAACGAAGAGTGAAACACGAACCCTTTTTATAGCTGTGCTTTGCTCACTGCACCACCGTCTCTGCTGGAAGAAGATACACACACATATATATACACGAATACATATAGCCTGACGCGTCATTACTACGTTTTGAGGAATAAGTTATGGAAGAGTCTTACGATGCTGTTGTCTGTGGCACTGGCCTGACAGAGTGCGTCCTCAGCGGGCTGCTCTCCGTGAATGGGTACAAAGTGCTTCACGTGGACCGCAACCCGTACTACGGCGGTGAATCCGCCAGCCTGAACCTGGAGCAACTGTACCAGAAGTTCAACAAGGGCGCCCCACCCGCCTCGCTCGGTCGCAGCCACCTTTACAACGTGGATCTCATTCCCAAGGTTCTCATGTGCGCCGGTGAGTTAGTGAAAATTCTTCGCTGCACCGTCATTGACCGTTACAACATGGAATTCATGCTTATTGATAACTCCTTTGTCATCAAGGATGGCAAAATTGCGAAGGTGCCTGCAACGGAAGCAGAGGCACTTATGTCTCCCCTGATGGGGTTTTTTGAGAAGCGCAAGGCAGCAAAACTGTTTCAGTTCATGGGCAACTACGACCCAAAGAACCCCAAGACACATAAAAATTATAATCTTCACGCCATGACTATGGCACAACTCTACAAGGAATTTGGTATCGGTAATGACACCATTGACTTTGTCGGTCATGCCGTTGCGCTTCATACGAATGATGATTACATGCAACGCCCGGCTATAGAAACGGTGATGCGCTGCAAGCTTTACGAGGAATCATTCAACATGTACGCCACCTCACCGTATGTTTATCCCTTGTACGGCAGTGGTGAGCTACCGCAGGCCTTCTCCCGTCTTTGTGCCGTGTATGGTGGTACATATATGTTGCAGACACCGGTGACAAAAGTGAATTTCAATGAACAAGGGGCTTTTGAATCCATTGAAAGCAATGGTAAAAAGGCCTATGCAAAGCTGATTGTGGGCGACCCCTCATACTTCCCTGACCGTGTGAAAAATTGTGGGAAGGTGGTTCGCTGCATCGCCATCATGAATCACCCCATTCCAAACCTAAAGGTGGATTGCAATTCATGTCAAATTATTATTCCGCAAAAAGAACTCAAACGTAATAATGATATGTACATATTGCAACTTGGGGCCAACAACAAAGTATGTCCTGAAGGGTATTACATTGCCATTATAGGCACAGTCGTGGAAAACGTAGAAAACCCGGAGATGGACATCCTCCCAGGATTACGCGTCATTGGCGACACTCTTGAGACATTCATCTCCGTCTCAGACTTGTATGAGCCCATGGAGGATGGAAAAGTGAGCAGGTGCTTTATCAGCAACAGCTATGACGCCGCCACGCACTTTGAGAGTGCTGCCGCGAATATCCTTGAACTATTCCAACGCATTCATGGAAAACCGTGCGACTTTGAAAGTATGAAGCAGCTAGGGGGAGCGGCTAACGCCTAGTTGTCCGAAAACAAAGGCAACAACAACGACAAAAAAGAAAAAAGAAAAAAGAGAGAAATTGCTTTGCGTGGAAGTGCCGGTCTCCACATGTGTGGGAAGACGTCAGGGGGGAGAAGATATAAAAAAAAGAAAAAATGAGAGAGAGAGAGAGAGAGAAAGAGAATAGTGGAAAGCGTGATGAGATGAGGGAAAGGACGCGTGAGCCCAAAATGGTACGAGAAGGAACAAAAATATTTTTAAAAAAGATGTACACAAACAACAAAAAAAAAGAAAAGAATTTTTATTGGATCCTCTTTGGCATTCTTACTATTATTGCGTGTGAATACAAAACAGCTGCAGTTTGATAAGAGGCTTAAAAAAAAAAAAAGAAAAAAGAAGTAAAGTAAAAAGGGAAAAAAATAAAAAATAAAAAACGCCCGTGCGCCCCTTTTTTTCGCGGTCTGCCTGAATTGTGGGCGTGTCTCTCGCATTTTTATTTGTTTTCCTTTGTTGTTGTTGGTTGTTGTTGTTGTTGTTGTTGTTGTTGTTGTTGATTGCTTTATTCCTTGTGTGGTTTTCCAACCCGTATTTTTTTTTCTTCTGGAAAATGTGATGAGGGCGGCAAAGGCCACCGTCACTACGTTACTGCTTCTGCGATTGATCGAATTGACTTGCCTTCTCTCCTCTCAGTGTGTCCACGCCCGCACGCAACTTTATTAGCCACATCCGTAGGAAGAAAAGAGGTGGAGAAAATCAAAAGGTGTGAAGAGGACTTTCTCTCTCTCTCTCTCTGTGTGTGTGTGCTTACCTGTAGAAAAAAGGGAAATTCTGTTGGGGAAATTCTGTTGGGGAAAAGGTGTAGGCGAAGGACTTACGCGAAGAGAAGAGGAAGACGAAAGGAAGGCAGGAAATAGAAAAGGTACCCTTTTGTGTGTGTGTGTGTGTTTTAGAGAGCACAAAAGGATTTCCTGTCGGTGAACAATTAACGTAACAAACAGTCTGGAAGGACAAAAGGTTGGAGAGTAGAAGTGCGCATTGGCTTGGAATTGTTGTTTTATTTCTCGTTGCATTGCTGGCGTTGCAACCATCATACATGGCCGCTGTGGAAGGATCGCCATCTTCCAAAGAGGCGGCGAGGCGACAAAATCCCAAAAAGCGTGTGTTGTGTTATGAGTTTGACCCGGAAACGGATGTGATTGGAAGGGGTGCATACGGAGAGGTTTACAAGGCCACTCTCGTGAGTCCGTCAGACAATGGTACGGGTACGGTAGCCGAGGCGCAGGACAAGTTTGTTGCCCTAAAACGCACATTGTGCGCAGACAAGGAAGAGGGAATTCCTGCCTCCACCATTCGAGAGATCATGGTGCTGAGAGAGATCAGCAAGGCGATGAAAAATGGGGCAGGAAAGGAAGGATCTCCCGAATCATTTGGTTGTGAAAATGTCGTTAAACTTTACGACGTCTTTATGGACAAAAGTACGGTCTACATGGCCTCTGAGTTCTGCGAGGCTGGGGATTTGTCGTGTTACCTCAAGACACTCCCGCTGCGTCGTCTCTCCGATGGCCAGCAGTACCGCCAATGGATGTGGGACTTGCTTAGTGGTCTGTGCTTCCTGCATAGGAAGGGATTTTCGCACCGAGACTTAAAGCCGCAGAACCTTGTGCTGAAGGCGATACCGAGCGACCCGCCATCCCCAGAAGCCTCTCGTGAAGGTGGATCCAGGAAGGAGCCGAAGCTGACGCCGCAATACAAACTTAAGATCACGGACTTTGGGCTCTCCAGAGTTGAGGGGATCCCTGTAAAAAAATATCAACACGAGGCTGTCACCCTGTGGTACCGTAGTCCTGATATCTTGCTAGGAAACACAAACTACAATTACACCGCTGACATGTGGAGTGCCGGCTGCATCATTGCCGAAGTTGCCAGTGGCAACGCTTTTTTTCGGGGTAAAAATAATCGTGAGCAGTTGAAAAGCATCTTTTCCCGTTTAGGATTGCCAACGGAGAACAATTTTCCTAGTATAAAGCAGTACGCGTTGTATGAAACTTTTTTTACCGGCGCAGATAGTATTCAAAAGGGTCAGGAGGAAAAAGAAGGCAACGTTGCGACGTCGTATGCCGCCTGGTTTGAAAACGTAAAGGAGAAATTGAATCATTACTTCACTAGGTATGGATCTGTGGATATTGTGGGCGAAGACGGTGTGGATCTTGTTGCACGCCTGTTGGCATATGAGCCAGGGAGACGCCTGACAACAGAGGAAGCCATTCAGCATCCTTTTTTCCATACGGTCTCTCACGGCATTTTGTCGACAGTTGGGCCGAATGCACCCCCGACTGCCGCCACCTCGTCTACGACGCACGATGCAAACGAAATACTCAGCACTTCTCAGGAAGACACCCAAGGCGCTGCGTCACATTGCTCTTTGGCTGCATTTGGTGTACAGAGCCAGCCGCCTCTTCCGACGCAGCCTCAGGAAGAAAAATTGGAGGGGGTCAGGGGGATGATTCCCACGGAAGTCGGAGGCGGAAACAACGGCCACGCACCCCTGGCAGGTGGTCAAAAAGAAGCACATGCGGTGGACGAAAAGGATAACCCCTCTAAAGAAACTGACAAATCTCTGGAAGAAGGAAATAATCCTGGAGTGACGGAGAGAAGCAAACCTGTTGAATCTCTCAACTTCAAAGATCGCAAAAAGAGGGGAATTTCTACAAAGTTGACCTCACGACCATCCATGGGCGTTGTGTGTGCTGAACGGACAAAAAACTCTTTCTCAGTGAAAGGATCTCGTGTGGAAGAGGCACCAGCATATACCAGAGGCTGCGGCCAAGTCCCTAAATCGAAAGCGAAGGTTGCTATAACTCGCGCTAGCAAACAACTTTAGTTCGAATTTGGTTTGATTTGTATTACGAATTGTGAGAACGGGGAAAAGCATAAAAGAATCACCGAAATAAAGTAAAGAAAAGAAAAAAACTGGAGTTTTTGCTTTAGCTTCTTTTTTTTTTTTTTTTTTTTTTTTTTTTTTTCTTTTAATGCTGGCTGTTTGCTCGTATATGTTTTTACGGATATTTTACTGCGTGTATTTTATTATTGTTGTTCCTGGACGGCCATGTACGTCACAGTGTATACATCCTTTGTTGTTGTTGTTGTTGTTGGTGGTGGTGGTGGTTTTTTTTTTTAGGGCATCCTTTTTTTTTTTTTTTTTCTTCTTCTTCCTCTTGTGTCTGTGTGTACGTGTGTATTAGTTGACTTTTGCCGTACAGCATGGTATTACGAGTGTTTTTCTGCGTGTATATATATATATATATACTTTTTTTTTCTGATGGAACGCATATTTTATGCATGCCTCTTTTTCTAACTGTGTTTTTATGTATGTATGTTTGTTTTGGAACTTTGACGGTGGATATGCTTATAAACGCTCTCACTCTGGGACAATACCTTCCTGTACATGTGTACTTAGCTCATATTCTAATATACATATACATATATATATAGGCATGTATGTATATATATATATATATATATTAAAGCGTGCGATAGTTGTTTTTTTTTTTTTTTTTTTTTTTGCGTCACGCTTCGTTGCTTATGGTATTTGTCCCCATTTCCATGGATTTTTTTTTCCAGCGGTTTTTTGTCTCACACGGCACATACATGTGTTGTGTGTCAAGGAAAATAGAGAACGCAATTTTTTCCTCTTTTTCCTTCTTACCTTTTTGTGGTTATTGATTTTTATACAACGACAGTTATACACGCATTTCTCCACTCTACAACTGTATTTTTCTTTTTTTTTTTTTTTTCGTTTTTTTGGAGTGGGGTGTTGTGCGTACTTCTTTCAGCATGCACTTAAGGATGGGCATGCGCACTATGTTCCTCCCTGTGGGCTGATTGCGTAACGTGAGGGTGACGAATACGCAACCACACACACACACAGAGAGAGAGAGAATGGAGAGAAAAACGTGTGGCTGCATGTGCTTTTTTCTCCTCCAGTTTTACCGCGTCTAGCTGAAGAAGTAGACAACACAAGGCTGAGTGATGCTGGCGCATGAGCTGGTCCTGCATAACACACTGCCGGGCGCCCCGTCCACCACAAGGGCCATTCCCACTCCCTTTTCTGCCTTTGGTAACGTCGTTGCATACGGCAGCGGCAACAATGTGGTGGTCCGTGAACTGGAGAGGCCGGGAAATGTGATCGTCAGCTGTAGACACACTTCACCGGTCACGGCTGTGCGGATCAGTCCCTCTGGGAAATTGGTGGCGTCTGGGGACCAAAAAGGAAATTTGTTGGTGTGGGTTCGTCAGCCCGACGCCCGGGAATTGCTCAATACGAAACAACTGCAGGGTTCTGTGCGGGACATTGGCTGGACAAATGACGAGGAGCGGCTTGTGGTTGTGGGCGATGGAAAAAGTCATTTTGCGGCTGCCATCAGCATCACGGGCAATACGATTGGTGACATCAGTGGTCACACTCAAAATATTTTTTCTTGCGACATGCGCGGTGATCATCCCTACCGCATTGTGACGGGAGGCGCCGACGCCATTGTGGGGGTTTATGAGGGCGTACCCTTCACGTTCAAGTGCAATGTGAGGGGCCACAGTGGAATGGTGACATGTGTGCGTTACAGTCCGAACATGGAGATGATTGCAACGGCTTCGAGGTCTTCTAATGTTCTTCTTCTTGATGGTAAAACAGCAGAGCAAAGGAACTCCATTGAGACGGGACACAATGGCACCATTTACTCTGTTGCATGGAGTCCAGACGGTCGTAAAATCGCCACGGCCAGTGCCGACAAGAGCGTTAAAGTTTTTGATGTCGCGACCGGTGTGGTGATAAGCTCCTGTTCATTTGGAACAGATGTCATGGATATGCAACAGGGAATAGTGTATACTCCGCAGGGCATATTATCCTTATCGTTTGGTGGAAAGTTGACGCTAATTGATGAAAATGGCAATATAAAAAGTGTAATGTTGGGACACCAGGGACGAATTTTGCTCTTGCATCCACATTTGAATGGAACGATGGTTTCTGTCAGCGTTGAGCGGGCTCTGATTTGGAAAGACACCAGTGATCCTTCTGGGACCGCACGCGAAGTGCCCATCGCTTCCAACGTAATCACTGCTGCAGCCGGCAATGGAGATTATTTGTACCTTGTATCTGGTACCGATCTGCTGCGATTTGCTTTGACTAGCACCGAACTGACCGTTCTCTCAAGGGAAGCGGCGAATGTCACCGCTCTGGCCATTACGGCAGATGAAAATGCGGTGCTTTTATCAAAACATGGATTTATTTTAATAGATGCATCGGGGTGCAAAGTAGCGGAAGAGAAACTGAAAAACTTCGACGGCATCAGCGCGGCGGCCCATGACAACATGGTTGTGTTGGGTAGCGATGGTTCGGTGGAAGGATACCGTGTCACCACAGGTGCATCACCGGAAGCGTGTGTGCGGTTTTCCGGCTATCACACAGGAATGGTCGCATGCGTGGCATTCTCGAGGGACGGGCAACGTGTTGCCTCTGGGGATGCTAATAGAAACATTTTTGTCTGGTCGCCTTTTGATGGTAGCGTTTTATATAGAGATTTGGTGTTCCACACCCTGCGAGTGACCTCGCTGGCTTTTTCACCCCAAAACACTTCATGGCTTCTTTCAGGCAGCATGGACGCCTCTCTTATTGTGTGGGATCTTGACAAAAAAACACGCAAAATGGAGGACGCGGCACACCGCGGTGGTGTGTCAGCCGTGGCGTGGACGGAGGATGGAAAATTGTTTTCGGGTGGAAGCGACTTTTGCGTGCGTCAGTGGATTCTTCCAAGCTGATGAGCATATGAATGGTGGCGGGTACTCACCTTTTCTTTTCTCTCTCTTTCTCTCTTCTTTTTTTTTTTTTTTTTTTGTGTGTGTGTGTTTGTTGTACACGTTTGCCAATTGGGAACCTTATTTGCTTGTTTTGTGTTTTTATCGTCTTCAGGAAAGTATCTTTCTTTGCTTACCGCCATTCATGCCTTTCTTTTTCTTTTCTTCTCTTTCTGTGTGCATGCGCGTGTATGTATGTTCCCATACAAATATATTTGCTGCTGCTGCTGGTGGTGGTGGTGCATCCTGCTTGTCCTTTACTTATTGCCTTTCTGTGTAATGAACGTTGTCTGTTTGCTTCTGTGAAATATGCTTGAGCAAAGAGCAAATCATCTGCACCAAAAACAGTACCCCGTCAGCAAGGAGGAACGAAGAAGATCCGGCTGCCTTGACACGCAATCGAGGGAACATTCAAGAAGATAAGAAATTCGAAGAAACCAAAAGACAAAGAAAGGGGGGGAAATGAAGCTGCTTATTGCCGTCGTCGTTGCAGTCGCCGCTGTTGCCACGTCTTTTGTGATCGACAGTCCAGCGAATTGGGTGTTTGACCCAAAAACACTCAAGGCTGTTTCCCACCGTGGCATTGAGGCCGCACGCGTTCAACACGGCGTTAACGCCACACCGGAACAAGTGATAGAAAAAGTCATCAACGAGCTTACGAAAACATACCCTCGTTACGCGGTGTATTCCGGCAGGTGGCTCTGGAACAACGCCGGTGGAGCAATGGGCTCCATGACGGTACTGCATTGCTCTTTTACGGAGTATGTTATCATCTTTGGTACCGCCGTCGGCACGGAGGGTCACACGGGCCGATTTCACTGGGCAGAGGACTTCTTTACAATTCTTTATGGCGAGCAGTGGGCATCTTTGCCAAAGGCGGCGAATCCGGAGATTTACAAGCCAGGGGACCAGCACTATCTCCCCAGGGGTAGTGCAAAGCAATATCGGATGCCAAATGCCTGTTGGGCATTGGAATATGCACGAGGCAACATTCCATCCATGCTTTTTTTTGGTCTTGCGGATAGCATTACCTCGACCGTTGACCTTTTGACACTATTCCAGACTGTTTATGAAAGTGCCTGGAGTATGATACAAAACCTCATTCAGGGTAAAATTTAGAAATTAAAAATGAAGTTAGGCGGAAAGAAAGAACAAAACGGAAATGAAAACTAAAGACGTTTAGAAACATTTTTCTTATTGTTTGTAATCGGCCTTATGTGTGTGTGTTTGTGTTTCTATCCAGATGGTTTGCCGTCATTCTTTTGTTTTCTTTTCCGCTTATAAGCCAATTTTTTCCCTTTTCTTTTTTTTTTTTTGCGTGGAATTGCCACGAGGCAAATAAGGCACACATGCACCGGCATTCAACGCTTTCGAGCAAAATGAGGAAAACAAGTGAAGCATCGGAAAATTGACGGTTCTTATTTCCTTTTTTTCGTTGTTGTTGTTGTTGTTGTTGTTTGTTTTTTATATAATAATTATTATTTTTATTTTAAACTGCTTTACGTGCGCTGCACTGTAATATAGGAATTATTGGGGGGGGGGGGCAGGTTGGTGTGGGATGGAATACGGGGTGTCTTGCACACCGTGTGCTATGATTGCTCGTAAAATACACATGAAGCTTATTTATTTATTTTATTATTATTCTCTGTTGTTGTTGTTGTTGTTGTTGTTGTTTCTGTGTAAGTGTATATCGTTGGTAGTGAATTAAAGAGCCGTCTGCTGGTAATTTACAAATCTTCTCGAAACGGAAATTAAGAGCCAAATACAATGGTGGTGTCCACGACAGTGTATCTGCTTGTAACGGCAGTCCTCTGTTGCCTCCTCAGCGGAACGGAGGGAGCGCTGCAGTTTGAGTGGCTGAAACCGCCCATTAAGAGCAAACCGCAAACTCCGCCAAAAAATTGGCGTAACGTGTTGGATGCCCTTTTGCGCTCCATCGAAGATGCTGAATTGCAAAAAAGCATTAAGAATATTAAAGAAAGCATAAGTGCCGGACCGTCGCGGGAGATGTTCAGCCACTGCGATCTCAGCATCCTGCGATGTTTGAACAACAACCCGATACAACTCACTTTGCATGGCATGGAGAATGGGATGGTGCATTTTGATTACCTACCAGACACCCTTCGCTTCCTCACGGTGGAATCCAGCACATTGAACCAGGAACTTTATATAAAGGCTCTCCCGGAAAGTTTACTTCAATTGGTATTTCACAACGTTACCTTCTTGTCGGGTAATGCCACAGTTGCTCTTAATGCAACTTTGCAGAGTTTTACATGTAGGAATTGTGGTCTTCACTCCATCTCGTTTACCGGAGAAAGTGGGTTAAAAATGCTGGACCTGAGCGAAAATACGTTTGATGACGTGCCATTCATTATTCCCGGGAATCTTACATCGCTTATAATGCAAAACTGCTTGAATAACTTGTCGCTAGTAAAAATAATGAGAGCCCTACCACCAGATGTGCCTCTTCTTGACCTAAGATACTCTCAATTCAGTGAATTTATGAAGGGAATTGCAACGGTACCACCTTCTCTGCGTTTATTGTACGTCAGTGGCTGTCCCATTAATACTGATGTCTCTTATTTTTTAGATACTTTAAAATCCGCCAACCGAAATGTTGAAAGGGTGGTTGCAAGAAACTGTGGCTTGGTGGGTAAGCTTGGTAATGCTACGGATTTGAAAATGTTGCTTACACTTGACCTTGCACACAACCGTATTTTGGAAGTTGTATGGCGAGAACTGCCTCCAATTCTTAATCATCTCGATCTCAGTGCAAACGCCATTGATGGTAAGCTTCCCGTAAGGCTTCTTCCTCGTTTCCTCAAGTCGCTCAATTTATCCCAAAATGGATTCTCAGGGAATTTCAACGTTAGTGAACTGCCACCGCAGCTGATCATTCTTGACGTGGGAAATAACAATTTTTCTGGAACCATTGACTTTGCACGACTTCCGGAATCTATTCATTACGTGTACGTGCAGCATAATAGGTTTCAAGGTACGCCAGACTTGGTGGAGATCCCAGCCGGAATTAGAAAAATATTGATACACGATAACAACTGGGATTTGCTACGCCCCTCTCCCTGATTGAATGAATACTCCCCCAAATATTACCACGCCATCTTATGTCGGCGGTTTTTGCGGAAGGTGAAATTGCCGATAATAATAAAAAAACGACTAGAAGAAAGAGTGATTTTTTTTTTTTTTTAATTTTGGGCACGGGAATTTGAGGAATAGAAACAAAAAAAAAAAGAAACGCAGAGGGGTACCGGTAGACTTTTGAATGAATGGAAGTGGAGTGCAAAGTCGCACCTCCCTCCAGAAGAGAGGCTCTGTGTCAAGGGTTTCTTTCACGGTTTTTAAGTGCATCTGGACGATTCACTCGCTTCAATGCTTTTCTCCACTCTGAAGCAGACGGAGCATGCGGCGCCGGATCGAACGGGGGTACTTTGTACCTTTTGGACGACCGAGACCGCCCATTCTCATGCATCATCATTGGCCCCAACGATGTCATTCGTGAGAGCGCGAATGCTGCCAACGCCTTCTCCATTTCCAGAAGGGGAGGCGAAAAAACCGTCTTGAAGGCACCCTCAGAAGCGGAGAAAAAGAAGTGGATGCAAATTATCGCAACAATAATAAAGTCGGGTGATGATTCTTTTGCCGCCTCCACGGATGATGATTCTTCTCACAAGACTTTGCCATCATCCAATTCTGTGGGGGTGGAAGTTAACGTGAGCCACACTGCACCATCACTTTCCTTATCGCCGAAGATGAGTGATGTCGTAGCCGAGTCCGCTTCTGTAATGAAGGGCGTGTTATTAAAAAAGGATGGTCGTATCGGTCGCTATGCCCAACGATGGTTTGAACTGAGAAAAGGCGAAGGTCTCTTTTACGCGGCACATAAACATTCTCCTCCAAAGTCGTTTCGGTGTGTGCCTTTACAAGGTTTATTGGTAGTGTTTGTAGAAAACAAGAGAAAAATTATCATCCCACAGTCTGCGTCGCGTAGGTGGAAGATGACCCTTAAATGCCTCGACGCTGATGAATTTGCGAGGTGGCGTGGGGCCATCCAATTGGAGATTTCGTGTCTTCTCCCAACGAAAAATGACAATGAGTCGGTTTTAACTACTGCACAGACGCTTACGAATACTCCCCTGGGAATTCCTGGGAAAATGCCCACAGCTCTTAGCAACTGCCTTGGGGGCGACACCGCCTTCCCCTTCTCCTTAACGAGTCCGTGGGAAAATTCAGCCGCTTTGATGGGCATTGCGCCTGGGGAGGGGACGTTGGGTCAAGTGGCGGACGCGGCGACGATACTTAGTGCAACGGAGTTGTTAGAACTTGAGGATTTGCAGAGTGATACCCCATGCGATTGCACGAAGAGCACGGAAGTATATTTAGAATCCATCGGGGAGAAATACAAGCCAGTGAAGAATACTGCTGGCATGGAGGCGGATCTGCAGAAGTACTACGCTGAGTGTCTCCCGTATGGATTTAAAGCAACGCTTCAGCGATTGTGGGAACGACTTTTTTTGCCTATCCGAGAGCCCTACGAATCGGTAAACGAACATCTGGTCCTACTGGATCTGGACGTTGAACGTGTCCGTGAGTGCTTAAAAAATACTTTACTTCTCTATGGTGAGGAGATGGCTTTACGGGGCGCGGTGGAAGAATTGGACTACATATTGCGTGTTTACAAGTTTGTACGGGAGCAACTTTCCATTCGTTTGGAAATCGCTGCATTCCGTGAGCACCCCAATCAAAGTGGGCTTCCGCTTGGCGTGAATGGCACCATTGATAGGATAAACAAACTACTGGGCTTTAATACTTCTTCGGCATCTCACTATGATGAAGTGTTGGAAACGTGGAAAACCGTGTTCCAGGCACTGCAAACATTCCGTTTGGAGTTTGATGTTTTTGACGAGAGTGAGGAAACCATCTTGATGTTGGAAGATGCACTCAATAAGATTTACCTCTGGCTGCAGCAAAATCCCGTTGAATTAGTTTGCGTGGAAAAGGAACTGCGGTGAAGCCAGTATTAATGATTATCGTTTTTGTTGTTTTTGTTTTTTCTCCCTTTTTGTTGCCATGTTTTCCGTGTTTCTATCTTGACTGAAGGATGGCGTCTTTATTCTTTTTCCCCTCTCTATTTTCTTCCATCTTTTCTTTGTTTTTTGTTTTTTTCCTTTCCTTTTATCATTGCTTTTTAAGGGATTATTTATCAGACACAGGGTAGATATAAACGTGTACGGTGGGAAAAGCGTTGGGACAAGACGGACTCAAAAAAAAGGAAGGGAGTTGGTCTTAATAATTTATGTGTTGAAGGTAATATATTTTTTTATGCACGAGTATAAGCACTTGAACGAGGCTCGTCGAGCCTTTGGTAACGCACAACGCTCACGTGAGATTCATGAAAGGGGGCTAGAGAAATTTAATATTGAAATCCGGAAAAACAGTGCACTGCGAAATCGTTTACTTGTCCTCTCTTCCTTTGGTGGCCTTCTATCTGCGGCGGGGGTGCTTGGTGCAACAAGCGGTCTGCAGCAGGTGGGTGGCAGGGGTTTTGTTCGAGCAATGCTTATCGGTCAACTACTCCTGCAGGCCGTCACTGGAGGGGGTGCTGCTGCCTACACAGTATGCCTCGGACTTGTATTTGAACGCCTTGTGTATGATATTGAACTGAAACGTGAACTTTGGGAAATAGAGAATCACCTTGTGGGAGAGATTCAAGAGATGGTTGCAATTTACAAGGCGCAGGGACTTTCCGAAGATGACGCCCTTATGGTTACGCGTGTCTTCGCGAAGCACAGAAAGAGGTTTGCTAACCTAATGATGGTGGAGGAGCTTGGCTATTCCCGGTTGGAGCCTCCATGCCGCAGGGAAGCCTTTGTGGATGCCGCAGTTCCCGCTGCCATTGGCTACACGATGGGATGTTTGCTGCCACTTGTTCCACTGCTAGCGCGACGCCTCTGTGCTTCACGAACTCATGAAATAGGGCTGTGCACGTTAGCACTGGGGAGTGTGTTTGTGAGTGTGGCGCAGTCGGAGGTATTCTACGGGGGCTACGCAAGCAAGTTGAAGACAGTGAAGGTCATTGCGTGCAACCTTTCAGCGGTAGGGGTTATTTTTGGTATAGCTCGAGTGGCATCGTATTTTTTTCGTGGCGGATCATGATGTGGATTGATGCTGTTCCGAGTCGCTTGGAAGCAGGGATTTGAAGATGAAATACGAAACTTCTGTTTTTTTATTTTTCTTCTTTTCCCCTTCTGGGAGATAAACGGGGACAACAACAAAAAAGAAAGGGTGGAGAGGATTGTTTTTGTTGCAGAGTTTGTGTGTGCGTGTATTTATGGATGTAGTTGGTTGTTTGTCTGTGCATGATAGACCCATAGGCAATGTAGTTAGGCATAATTGGCCCTTGAGTGACGGAGACGAGTTTCTTAGCCCTCTTCTTTTCTTTTTACTCTTGCCAACAGGGTGGATGACAAATTTGTCTTCACCACATTTTGTATGGACTGGACAAAGAATGGGGAAAGGGAGGGGGAAAAGGGAGAGAAACGCCACATGTTTCTCTCTTTTGTTGCTCATGTTTCCTTTTTTTTTTTTTTTTTTTTTTTTTTTTTTGTTAAAATTATTATTATTTTATTTCTTGAAAGTTAATTTGGCAGCGGGGATGTCGACGGCTCGTTTTGTTTCTTATATCTTGTGTTTTTCTGTGTGTGTTCTTTCCTTTTCATATGTGCACAATTACAATTATATTCACGGCGGGTGACGCCCGTGATGACAATTCCTCTAATCATCCCTGCTTCCCTTTTTGTGTTTGTTCTTCCCTCATTGTGACGTCAGCGGGCAAATATTTTACCTCATTACTTTTTTTTTGTTTTGTTTGTTTGTGTGTGTGTGTCATCGAAATTCTTTTTCTTCTCGTCTACCGTGTTTTTTCCCTCCAGTTGTCTTTTATTTTTTTCATAACACACCCTTCGTATGGAACTGGGGCCGCGGGACTGCAGCAAAAGCATGAATCAACCTCATCATCGGCCACGCAATATTGCCTACTGCACCGACTGGGGGAGAGGCCGAGGGCGATTTGCAGCAACACTCACGCTTCTGCTTCTTTGGAGCGTAAGCTTGATTTTGTTGGAAGCACCAACGGTGGAGGGCAAAGGCGTGCATGTCACACTGCTGGCGCCATGGACAGAAACACCGCTCCTACAGGAAGGATGTGAAATGGTGGCGGCACGCGGTGCTCACTTCGTTGGGTTCTACCAATGTATGCAGGACGTTTGGAAACGCGTTCAAGCCATGAACAGCAGCGGCGGTGCCGCGAAGCTGACGCAAAAGTCCCAGTACGATATATTGCTAGATATGATGGAACAGGCCAATTGGCCGCCCACTCAAGTAAAGCTGGCAAAAATGAAGCTTGCGGCCCGGCTGTATTCCCCTGTCATTGAAGCGCACTGGCAGCTTGCGAGAAAAGCGAAGCAACTTATCGACGGATGTTCCACCGAAGGAGGACCCTTTGTACTTACCGCAGGAAAAGTCATTTGCAGTGAAGATCTTCTTGAGGAGACGTTATCAGCTCCGGCCCCTGTTAATGAAACCCAAGACAGCCATGAGGACGAGGCGTTCTCTCTGTTTGCCGAGCTTGACCAAATGCATCCAAACGCCAAAGGGAGCCGTGTTGTCATCCTTTACGGAGTCGTCGGAGAGGAACAGACGATGCAGCTTCTTCAAGTTGTCGAGCGTCACCTACACGCTGTTCGCCTGGCGTTTCGACACCTTCCCATATCGGGACGGATGTGGGAACACCCTCTCCACGTTCAGGGTTACGCTGTGACAGTCGACTTGAAGAACGTTGAGTACAAAGTAATTGATGAAAAGGATAAAAATGATGCGGGAACGGATGCCAACGATGCGAACACTGTAGAAGAAATCGAAAGCATAGATTCGGTGGGCGGGTTCAATCTTACACTGTTAACTCAGCGGTATCCTCAGCTCAAACCACAATTGAACGCATTTGCGAGTCACCTCGTGGATATGATTGACCGAGATGAAGTAAAGGTGGATTTTCAAATGTGGGAAACTCAGTACATGGGTATCGCCGCCGCGCAGTATGTGATGGACGCAGAGAATGAGAAGCGGCTGAATGTATTGATGAATTTGCTGACGAAATTCCCACTTCATGCATCCAAACTTTCCAAAATGGGCGCCACGGTGAGAGCGAAAATGAACAAAAAAATGCATGAGGAACTGATGGAATTTGCGAGCGTGGTGCGTTCAGGCACATCGCCAGTTTTTCTCAATGGCCGAAATTTGGCAGTGGAAAAACTTAATCTTTTCTCTTTGCTTCAGAAACTGGATGAGGAAGAGCAGCTGCTGGAGGGTGTGCAACGGGTCTTCACCAGTTACCGCCTCCCTTCAGTCAATGACGATGGGTTTCTCTCGGCCAAAACAGATGCGTTACATCAGGCGATGGAGTCATTCAGGCGAAGCGTGCACCGGTACATCGCGTCCAATGGTTTGGAGGATGGGGAATCGGTGCCACGCATATGGTTGCCCCAGCGGAGTGTTCTTTGGCTTAACAACATTCAAAGAGACGTCAACTATATTTACATGCCCGCTGCCCTTGAGGCCATACTGCATTTAAACATCAATGGCGTGCCCGTAATTCCACGGAAAAATCTTATCCATGCCGTTTGTGTTGTGGACCCCACGACCTTCGCGGGCCTGCAGAATATATTTACCATCTTGAAATTAGAGGAATCCAAGCAACCAGTTCGTTTGGGAATTGTGTTTGCAGATAACAAGTGGTCTCCGGAATTGTCTGTCTTTACAAGGGGTAATGATTTTATAACGGATATGTCTCTTTCGGGCGTCACCGTAATTATTGCCGCAACCGTGTGGGAACTTTTGAAAGGGGAAGAACACCCGCAGGATGTATTGGAATTCCTTTCGGAAGTCGTGCAAGCCAGGAGTACGCGCGGTAATCTTGAAGAAGATGAGATAAAAATGATCTCCTCGAATATTCTCACGTTGGCAGGGAAAACGACTCTGGATAATATTTTAACGGACGCAAGTTTTGTGGAATATTATCAGGATACACAGATGAAACTTCGTGAAATGAAACTAGACGCATCTCCTTTTACGCTCCTCAATGGAAAAATGTTCCGGGGAAACATGCTGCACGCTCTTCGCCAAAATTTCATGGAGGAATTACATTATGTGCGTGGGCTGGTCCAAAGCGATGCGTTAACGGAGCGTGACGATGACGATTTTTACGAATCTATTCTTCGTTTGAGCGGAGCGCGTGAACGGTATAATGAAGCTTTTTACAGTGAAAAGTTTTACGCCGACTGGACGTCAAAGCCCGTCCTTGATTTTCTTCTTCACCGGCCGTTTCTGCTTCCTACAATAAGGTCGAAGAAGACGCCGCTAGTGAGCAGTGTCCTGACCATACAATCTCCCATGGGAGAAGCAGCCCTTGACGCCCTCGTGAAGACCATCAGAAATCTTTTGCAATGTGAAGATGAAACGCAGAAATGCGTTAATGTGCGCTTTACTTATGTCGTTTGCGACGTGGCGAAAGAATCTAAACGCCGCACAATGGCTGGGGATTTGGAACGTCTGATAGTGCGACGCAAAGGGGGGGACGATGGGAAACAACACGTTCAATGGGTGTATGACTTTCTTCAAAAGATTGCCGCACAGAACAACACACGGCAGTTAATGGATCCTGATTTGTATGAAGAGTTAGTTGCGGAAGTGAACTTCTCCTCCGAGGTAAAGAAGCTTTTGGACGCTTCAGATGAGGGCTTGGATGCCCAATTGCAGGTGCAGCGTGGGATTGTAAATGGCTTCTGTGCGCAACTGGAGGCCGATTCCCTCTCTACGTCGTCGTTATCGGCTAATGGTGCAGCAGCGGGGAGGGAGAAGGGAAACAAGGAAGGCGCAGTGTACTACTATGTGAATGGTCGCCGCTTTGTGTATGACGACAGCTTTTTGGAAGAAGATTTTAGGACTGCGGAGGAGATGGAGATGCTTTTGGCCGGAGCAGTTTCGGAGGCACTCAGTAAGGTGGAATTCACGACAATGAGCAGCGAGTTGGAACCAAGCGACCTTGAAAGCCACTTCTATGCCTCCAAAGTGGCTGCGCTCTCGGAGGTGTTGAGGCGCGATGCCGCTCGTGGTTCTCCGATGCAAGAGGAAAATCATCTGCCTTCGACATCCGGCCTGACGTCATTTGTTGTGAAGCCCGCGAATGGTGATACGGTGCCGCGGCACACGCTGACGGTTGTTATTGACCCCGTTGCGCAACAGTCCCAGTTTCTCATTTCGTTGTGTGATTATGTCACCCGCTCGCCACTCGGCGTTTCCTGCACCGTGCATATGGGCGCGACTGAGCACGCTTCTAAGCTCATGCGCAATTTTTACCAGTTTGTCAGTGAAATGGAGCTGCGATTTGACGCGGTGGGGGGAGTCGTGCCACCGGCCGCGGTGTTCCACCGGTTGCCGTCGAAACATTTGTTGACGCTTGGTATCGAGGAGCCGGAGAGTTGGACGGTGTTCTCATTGGATGCCAAGTACGATCTTGACAACATTCTTCTGGATAAACTGCCGTCATCTTCACAGTATTTACATGCCGTTTACCGCATCAACTCTATTCTCCTCACCGGCAGTGCAAGAGATGCCGAACAGCCGAATCCTTCGCGCGGTTTGCCACTTTTAATACGCTCTACAAAAACGAACCCGGAAGCTGGTGTCACCCGCGACACACTTGTCATGGCCATTATGGGTTACTTCCAACTGCAAAGTAGTCCCGGTGTTTGGTATCTCACTGTGCAGCCGGGAGATATTGCGAAGATCTTCTACATCTCCCAGGTCGATGACATTCCCGTGAATGATGGGGCAAACAAGAACCATCACGGCAGGTTTAATTATACAGCAGGGCAGAACATTCCCGTGGTGGTTTCCTCATTTACTGGAAAGTTCTTGATGCTTGGTGTTTCAAAAACACCGGGTCACGAGGAAGTATCTATCGAAGATGTCAATGAGGCATCTGCTTTGCATGTAGATTGGCCTCCAAAGGGTCCAATAAAGAGCAAACCGGATCGCCCAACACTCAACATCTTTTCTGTGGCCTCAGGACATCTTTACGAACGTTTTTTACGCATGATGATTCACAGCGTTATGCGGACCTCTTTTGACGTTCATGGCGCGAATACGACTCGAATTAAATTCTGGCTGATTGAAAATTTTCTCTCCCCTCAGTTTAAGACGCTTGTACCATTGTTGGCGAAGCATTACGGTTTTGATGTAGGCTTTGTGACGTATCGCTGGCCATGGTGGCTCCATAAACAGACAGAGAAGCAGCGCACGATTTGGGCCTACAAGGTTCTTTTTCTTGATGTTCTGTTTCCCTTGGATGTCGATCGCGTCATTTTTGTTGATGCGGATCAGACCGTTTTGGCGGATCTGCATGAACTATACAACATGGACATTGGAAACGCCCCGACCGCGTATACCCCCTTCTGCAGGAAACATCCGAACCCGGCCACGAAAAACTTTCGGTTCTGGGATCACGGATATTGGCTTGAACATCTGCACGGGAAGCCGTACCACATCAGTGCCATTTACCTCGTCGACCTGCGACGGCTGCGGGCGATAGCAGGTGGCGACAAGTACCGCTTGGTGTACAGCCGACTGAGCTCTGACCCCAACAGCCTGGCAAACCTGGATCAGGACCTCCCCAACTTCATACAGGATCAGGTGCCGATTTATTCCCTTCCAGAGGAGTGGCTCTGGTGCGAGACGTGGTGCGGGGCGGAGAGCAAGGCGCGGGCCAAGACGATTGATCTCTGCAACAACCCGCTGACGAAGATGCCGAAACTCGACAACGCCAGGCTCATCATACCGGGCTGGGAGGAAACCGACACCGAATTGGAGGCCCTCTCAGAAAAACTTCTTCAGCAGCAAAAGCAGCAGATAAGTTGAGAGCCAGAACAGACAGTAAGCGAAACAACATAATAATAATAATAATGAAAAAATAAAGAAGGTAAATATCTTGAACGGGCACGAATTGCGCAATTCTTCAAAGAATTAAGAGATGGAAATGTATTTAGAAAACAAAGGGAGCATAAATAAACATTCCTTTCCTTATTATATATGGAAAAAAAAACGCCTTCTTGTGGATGCCATAAGCGCGATACAACAGATGAACGCGTGCATTAGAGTGATGCACAACCTCTTGGAATGCCTTCTCTCTTTCCCTTCTCTCTCTTCCTTTTTTTTTTTCTTCCTTATGTGTTTTCTTTCAAAGCAAAGGGGTCTGCGCATGTTAGGCGCCTCACTGAGGGGGAAAAAAGTACCAAAACCATCATTACTGCACGGGCAACATCCTTTTTTGTTTATTTCTTTTTTTAAGGATACAGGGAAATAAACAACAAAATAGAATCATAAAAGAGGGAAGGAGCAAACCGAATAATAAATACATTATCCTTCTTTTTTTCTTTTTTTTCTTCTGGTCTGTTTTGTGGTGCAGCGGGGCTAAGAAGAAATGCTCAACTCTGCTGCACCCCCGACTGCATTGGACGATGCATGGACAGATGCGAAAAGCGCCAGTATCGACTGGACTGATCCGGAAGATGTTTTATGCAACAGTTGGACTTTTCTGCGCATAATGGGGTTTCATCCTGCTCTCTCCAGGTATGCTGAGAGTCACCTGGATGAAAAGGAACGTTGGCAGGTGATTTTTATGGATCCCTCCCGCAAGGAAGAGCAGAAGGATGCACTGCAGTGGTGGCTTCAAAATAACCTGCTGCTTCTTCGTGAGGAGCGTTGGTGCCGGCACTGCGGAAGTCAAGGCCACACTCGACGGGGTTGCGATCAGCTCTGTGTGGCTGCAGTTAAGAATGGTGACACGAGTGAAACTGTTTTTGGTCATGTGAAGACAGAGCCAAGTCGCATCATGTCGCGCTTCATTGCCCACCAGGCGGAGGTTGAACGTTGCAAGCTTTTACAGGAGAAGCAGTCGAAGGGTTTCTATTCTGGCATTTCTGGAAGGCGAAACGGCGCCGAGGAGACACAGCAGAGGCGTGGGGACAGCAACCACCTTGGGCACCCCAGGGCAAAGAAGGAACTTTTGCTCTTTGCGGAGGAACGACGTCGCGGGGTAGTTGGACGTTTCGATGCGAATTATGGCGTTGGCTTCATACGTGTGCCCGAGGTTGGTGAGGTAAAGTTTTTTCTGGACCGTGTGGATTATGGTGTGAAGGAGATTTCGGTTGGTGATGCAGTGACACTGAAGATTGATCACAGCAGAGAGTATCCGTTCGCAGTGGATATCCGACCTGAAACACCCAACATCACTCTCGAGGACGTTCAAAAGTTTCTTCAGCGTTGCAGATCAACAACACAGCCAATAAATGTCATCAAGACAATTATGACACACACACATGAGTGGCCGGTAGTTTTGGGGCTGCTGCGTGGCATGTCTGCTCCCGCCTACATTGATGCGGTCCATACACTTGTAGAACTTACCACATTTGTAGGCAATCGGGAGCCCATTCATACTCCGTTGCTGGAGTTATTCCTTTCGCTGATGCTACGCACCCCTAAGAGGGCGGACGTCGTTCCGTTCTTTCCCACAATGCTGCTTGACGCACTTGTGAAGAGTGGTGAACTGAAACTTGGGGATGAAATGCCAATGATGGTGGAGCGGTGGATTGAGGTGGTAAATCTTATTGTGCTCCTTCGGCACCACACAAATGTCACAACAGATCTTACTGGGGAGGTGGAGTCTGCACTGAAATCTCTTCTGATGGCAAGCTGGAACAAAGCAACCACAGCCATCACCACCACCACCACCGCCACATCCGTATTAGCGCACACAAAGACACCAGGAGTAAGTGTCGGAGCTTTAGCAGCGGCAGCAAAAAGGAAGAAAATAGATGGAGCTTTACAGAGATTACAATGCCAGCAGTGGGAAAAGGTAGCAACGCTTCTCATACCCACTGCTAATGATTTTTCCATTCCCCCACCAGACCCGAACTCTGCCTTCGCGCCACAGAACCTCCCTGTGAATGGCGCTACAGCGTATAACTCCACAGAGACATTTATCACGGATCAATGCCGTCTACTGCGCGCTGACACCTTTGAGTCGGTGAGTCGCCTTCTTCCTGCAGTAAACTATGAGCTCCCTCACTATAAGCCTACAGCTGAAACCGAGGCGGAAATCCCGTACGCGCGCATTTTTGATAAAGTGCGCTTCATGGGTCGTGTGCTGACGCGGGACAAGGACTATGCCTCGCCCGATAGCTACATCTTACATGTGCAGCCCAAAAGTCCAAAGGCAGAGGTTGCATCACAACTGCTGCCCGGCACAACTGTCTGCATTACGACAAGTCTTGACCGTAGTGTCATTTCCCCAGAGGAGATATTTTGGGGTATAATAACTTCGTGTAACGTGCAATTTCTGGTTGGAGGTCTAATTGTGTTGGCACCTTGTGAATCTAACGCACACTTTGATATTTTAATGGAAAGACTGAAGCGCAATGAAAAACTTGGTAAAACCGATCACTCCTGCATGTTGGTGACATCTGTCTTTATGATAGGGTACAAAAGTATCATGAAAGCGTTGAGTGCTTTTCTTGGGCCGCTTGCGATGCCACTTCCTTTGGTGTCCTCGCTATTAATTGCGGAGGCGGCGTCGAACGCAACCATCTCCGCAAAAGAGAATCTCAGGAATCCAAGTGATCTTGTCTCATATGTGCCTCTTCACTGCGAGTCTGCCTTTTTGGAAATTATTGACTCCGTAAACGATCGTTTTGCATTGGATGAGGGCCAAAAGGAGGTGATGCGCCGCCTTCCCTCTTCTGAAGTTCTTCTTGTACAGGGACCGCCAGGAACAGGCAAGTCCTTTATAGGATGCCGTGTAGTAGAGGTATACATTCGTTACAAGCAACTGGTGGCCTCGGGTGATATCCTTCGCTCCATTGACGTGGATTTGCTTCGTTCTACATCCGCGGAGGACATGTTACCCAATGTTGGGCCTATTGTCATCATCACATACAAAAACCACGCTCTTGATGAATTCCTCATGGACTTGTTGCATAGCGGATTGTGGGATGATGAGAGGCCTCGCATTGCTCAAAAATTGATTGGTGGGGCTTTCGGTGGAAAGTCGGAAGTTTTTCCACTTGGCAAGCGTATTGTACGCATTGGTGGCCGCTCACGTGAATCCATGCTTGATGCTTACAATCTTGGCTCCCTAATGCGCACGAAGGCGGACAAGGCGAGACTCAACAGCCTCAAGGAACGTTTGTTTCTCATGAATCAACGATTAGAAAGGCTTCTTAAGGAAATCCATTTTTTGGAATCGGGGCGCGTGCCCAAGTCCCTTTTTGAGCGATGGCTTACCGAAGAGCAACGGAAGTCTTTGCGTTACGAGGACCGTGAGGAATGGTTACAGGGGAAGCGATACATCGGCACCTCCACCCGCACTGCAGAGCGGACACTTTACCTTGACCTTCTTCGAACGCAGTTATCGGCATGTCTCGATGGGGTGCGAAAGCGTCCCACGGTGGCCCTTGAAGCCCCCGAGTCCGTCGAGGCGGACGAAGACGGCGGTGCACCACTTAGTGTCTTTCAGGAGATGAAGCGAGAGGAAGAGAGTCTCGATTTTAATGACGCGCTTCCCACGACATATCTTTCAGCTGAGGCGATGGATCTGGCGAAGAATCCACCAAAGTGTCCTGAGGGCATCCCGGAAGAACTGCTTTCCCTTTGGAGTCTTGACCCTGTCCTTCGTCACGAGTACTACGCCTTCCTTTTCCGCGACTGCATCTCCGTCAAGGCACGGGACTGTCAGTTGATTATGGATGCCATCATGAATGTCGTGACGATACGTAACCATGCAATGGATGAAGTCAAACTGGAGCTGCTTCAAGGGGCAGATGTTATTGGACTCACCACAACTGGCTGTGCCAAAAATCAGAATCTTTTACGCTCGTTGCGTCCTAGTGTTCTGGTGGTGGAAGAGGCCGCTGAGGTGCTTGAATCACAGCTTCTTGCGTGTATGACCGACTCTCTGCAGCAGATTGTACTCATTGGGGATCACTACCAATTGCAGCCGAAGGTCGAAACATTTCTCTATGAGAAAGTCAATAAGCTTAATATGTCTCTTTTTGAACGCCTGGCGAAACGAATTAGGCCCATTTGCCTGACAGAGCAACGACGCATGCATCCATTTATCTCACGGCTGGTGCGGCCTTTTTACGACACGCAGACCCTTTTGGACAGTGCAGATCTCCTTACCCGAACGTTTACCTCAGCTGCGGGTGTGAAGTATCTAGACGCCGTCCCAGGCTTGGCAAGGCGTGTGTTTTTCTGGCGTCACACTCACCCGGAGGAGGAGGCCTCGGGCAGTCGCAGCAAAGTCAACATCAAGGAGGTGGAGATGGTGCTCAAGATTGTGGCACATTTGACGTCAGAAGGGGTGCATCAGAAGTCGATTACGGTGATAACCCCGTATCTTGGACAGCGCCGACTACTCCGCACTTCGTTACGGCTACGCGCCTTTAGTGACGTTGCTGTGAGCACTGTGGATCTCTTTCAGGGAGACGAGAATGACATTGTGATTCTATCTTTGGTGCGAACGAAACGCCTAACGGAGTTTTTGCGGATGCGGAACCGTATGATTGTCTCCTGCAGCCGCGCGCGGTTTGCGATGGTTATGACTGGCAGCGAGACTCTCCTGGAGCAGTCTAGTCATTGGAAAGAGGTGCTGTACATGTTGCGGAAGGAAAATTGCGTGGGTGATCGACTACCCATTACGTACCGCTCATCTCCCGAAGAGATTGTGTGGATGGATGCGTAAAGGAATAAAGGTAACGACTCTCAATCTCTGTTTATCTCTTGCACACAGAAACACGTGGAGAATAAATGGGTGGATTGGACTGAATGCAGACAATATATATATATAATACATAATATATATTATTTTACGCTTAAAGAATGTTTTGTATTGTTTTTTTTTTTTTTTTTTTTTTTTTTTTTTTTTTTGAATGGAGTTTGTTTGAGTGTGGTTGGGCTCATAAGTCAGATTTCGCAATGCATATATATATATATATATATATATAGCCGCATACGCACACGTCACATGCCTCTTAAAAGTGCATACATATCCCTCCACCCACAGACTTGTTTACACATCTTAATTACGCAATGGAGAAGACCATACATTTTTGCCCTTTTACCGCTTTGTTTTTATTCCTATTTTTTCTTTATTTTGCTTTTTTTTTGTTTTTTTTTTTTTTTGTGTGTGTGTGTGCGGGAGCGGGAGTGCTGTCTTGAGTTCCTGGAAGAAGCACAATATCATTGCCATATTGTCTTTGTGTCTACTGGGGATTGGGGAAAGGAGGAGCGCGCCGCAGGTATTTCACACTCGAGGAATTTTAACTTATGCACATTCTTGCAGAAATTATTGGATATGTCAACTTTCTCCTACACGGTATTTTAGTCTCCTTGGTGGACTTCTACATCATGTTCATTCACGTCGGACTTGTATGGAAAAGAAGACGTGATCGTCACCCATCGATGGAGCGGCGCGATCTTGTCATGCAACTGGCGCCACAATCGCCGCAGCACAGCCGCCTCAGCTCATCAGACATGATTTTGTCGCTTAATGAATCCTTTCTGGATAGAGCTCTGTGGAAGGGACTAAATGCAAGTTGGGACCAGCCCACCGCCATTGTAACGGGGGTTTCTTATGGAAGCATGGGCTTCTATGTCGCCCTAAACCTTATTTTGTGTGGCTTTAATGTGCATGGTGTCTGTCGCACTTTTAAATCTGTAAGCCATGCAGAGCGGATGATGCAGTTTGCCGTGGAGCGTCAGTGCAGACTGCATAAGGAGTGGGTGGGGAAGACAGGCCGTCTAATTTCCCATGTGTGTGACATGAGCGACACTGTCGCTGTGAGTAATCTTTGTGCCGTTCTTTTGCGCGACATGAACATCCGTCTTGTTGTCTGTGCTGCGGGTTACATGGCGACGCCGCCTCGTCTCTCGCCGCAGCGGCTGGAAGAACAGTTCGCAACACAACACGTGGGTCATAGTTTGTTAATGCTTAGGCTTCTGCAGCACCGAATCCAACATATGAAATTTTACACTTCAGTTCGGCCTAACTGGCGCTTTGTCGTTGTTTCCTGCGCTTTTCCAGGAGGCACAGATCCTACGCAGGGGAATATGTTTGATACTTACGACAAGGGTGACGCAGATTTTCGCTCTACATATAATCGATACGATGGCTGGAGTCGCGCAGAGATGTGTAAACTTTTGTTTGCCTTTGCTTTAAGTCGATATGTAGAACACGATATTCGTCTTGCGCCCTTCTGTACCGTCAATGTGCTCCACCCCGGGCCCACCCGCAGTCGTGCGATTGCCAATAGCAGGCTACCACTGGCAGGTATCCTTGACAATGATATTCTTGCCCTGCTGCGCCTTTCCCCTGTAATAAGTGCACTGTATGTCACGGACACTTGTCTTAGCAAGCGTCTAGACAACACGAATGGGCACTTTTTTCGCATGGGGGACGACCAGACGGTGTTTTCCGCCACGCGGCGGAAGGATGCCGGGACGATAGCAAGTTTGTGGATCAACTCGCCTTTTTTTACCGGGACGCCACTGCCAGCCGTGTCCATGTCAACATGCAAGCAAGACGCAGTGTGGCGCTTCACCCTCTCCTACCTCACGTCCCATGCACTACTAGAGGCCAAAATCTTTTGTTGATGCGTAAATTTTTAGTTTATATTGGGGACGCAAAACAGAAACAAAAAAAAAAAAGACATTTGGGCCGGGCGGCATTTTTGTTTTACTGACCTTTACCACGAACACCTCTTTTGTTTTGTTTGTTTTGGGTTCGTGTTAATACCTTTTTTATTATTTATTGTTGTTTTCTTTCTTCGGTGCGTAGCAAGTGAAATACCGTTTCTGTTGTTTTTGTTGTTTTGGCACCAATCCCAGACGGTATACCCTGTCTTGATGCCTTGCGTCCTCATTCGACGCACGAGGGGAAAATAATATATTTATTTCTTTATGCCTCTTTTTTTTTTTTTTTTCCTTTTTCTTTTGTTATTATTTTTTACTTTGCATGTGGGCTTTGGTAGGCGTCCTTCTTGGGTATTCTACATTTACTTGTAGTTGAGTTATTGGCATCTGTCAGCGCGAGGACGTCACTGTTTCGGCGGTTGAGCGGAATTGAGGCATGGCTGAGAATGCGGCCAACGCATTCACACGATATGTAAGCAAATTCTCTGGGCGGGAGGTCCGACTGCTACGCGTTGGTAAAAGTGTGTCGTCCCCCTTCCGCCAAATATCCGAAGCGATTCGTCATTCGCGCCCCTACGACCGCATTGAAGTGGAGAGCGGGAAATATTTTGAGGCTCTGGCAATTATCCACCCCGTGGAACTTTGTAGCGCGGAGGATGGAGAGCCGCCGATGATTATTTCACGGGGGCCATGCTTAAAAATTAACACCGATGGTCCGGTTCTCGTACAGAACTTCTCCATTTTGGCAAAAGGGGCAACAGCATCTGCTTGTCAGGGAATATTGATTGAGTACGGCAGCCCAATCATTCGGGACTGCGCGATTTCATCCGTGTATGTCATCAACGATGCCACACCTCAGATATTGCATTGTCACATCTGCGATTCGGAATCTGGACACGGTCTGTCCATCACCGGCAGCAGCGGCGGCGTTTACGCAAATAACGATATTAGTTATCATGACGAGCAGTGTGTGTACATTAACACGAAGGGGAAGCCGGAACTGCGCCAGAATATCATCTCCCAGAAAAAGGGGCAAAAAAATGTGGCGGTTCTTATTAGCGCTCGACTTTATGGTGGCTGTGAGCCGATCTTTTGTGAAAATATCATTCGGGGTGGTGGGGAAATGACGAATCAGGAGGAGGTGGATCCTGCATCGGTGCAATTCCCCCAGATGTTATACGAGGACAACTCGGGTGGTTGGGCGTCTCTTGTGGGTGTCATGAATGGAGCAAAGCCTTTTATTACGGGAAATATGCTTTGCAACGGCGTCACGGGGTTTTACTTTAAGGATTGCAACTTGCCGAGGGATCACTTTTGCAAGAACCGTATTATTAGCTGTTCAGCATGGGGACTTGTCGTTGGGAAGAATACATCACTGGTTTCTCTGCACAATGATGTTCAAACTTGTGGGGGTGGCATTTTTGTCTCTTCCACGGCTTCATGTAACGTTCCTGCAAAGGAATCGCATTCCGTGGTGCTAAAAAAGTGTGACTTGTTTGGTAATTTCCACTACGGCATTCTTGTTGACCGCGTGGCAGTTTCGATCAGTGAGTGCAACGTCTTTGAAGGTTCAGTGGGCATTGCTTTGCTCGGAAACTGTACAGGCAGCAATATTACAAAAAACAACATGACTGGTAACCGTGTGGCAGCATTTTCTGTTTTACGCCGTGGGGTAGCTGTCATTGAAGAGAATAACATACGCGGGTGCGATAATGGCATGTACGGTGTTTTTGTACAAGATGGCTCTGATGTGGCGTTGAGGTCTAATAGCATTGAAGGGACTTCTAACAGTGTTTTTGTACGTGAAGGAAGTTGCATTTTGGCAGAGAAGAACGCTCTAAGGCAGTCATCTGTACATCATGTGGTTCTCACGGAATGTAGCCAGGCCACTTTGAAGGGAAACGTCATTGAAGGCAGTTCTTACGCCGCCGTGGTGGTTACAAGCCGTAGTGAGTGCAAAGCCGTTGGGAATGTCATGTATGCCGGAATACGGGAAGGAGTATTGGTGGAGGAAAAAGGACGAGCCATTTTTGAACGTAACAGTATGAGCTCCTTCCGCGAAACAATGTATGTAAAAACAGGTGGTTCCTTGCAGGCGACAGGAAATGACGTCACGCTCGGTCAACATGGGGTGGTTGTAGATGGAGAGGAAAGCAACGCTGTTGTTAGTAACAATCATTTTCGAGGCATGCATGCCACGGCTGTGTACGCCCTTGAGCGTGCCACAGTTACGGTGAATGACAACTCCGTGACTGAATTTTCCGCGGTTAGCATCCAAGTTGGCTCTGGAGCTATAGCCGTCATCGAAAAAAACAGCTTCACAAATGGCAGCGACGGTGCCATCCATGTGGATGGCTTTGGGACGCAATGTAAAGTGCTTCATTGTGAGATGGAAAAAGTTGTTTATGGGGTCAAGTTTACAAGATCTTCAACAGGCATTATTCAAGAGAATCATATACGTCTTTGTCAGCTTTTTGGTGTGGAATGCAACTCGAACCAGCCTGTCACGGTTCAAGGTAACACCATCACCGTCGCCAATGTTGGAATCGATATCTTCTCTGCTGGAGATATTCACGACAATTTTATTGGGGATAGTGAAGTGGGCATATTGGCTCACACCTTGGCCAACGCACAGGTGAGAAATCATCGTGTTTCAAATTGTACCGTGGGAATTCGGCTTATGAATGATACATGTGTCAACTTTACAGACATTAAGATTAAAAAACCAAAGGAGTTTGGTGTGGTGGTAAACGGCCCAAGTGCTAGTGTGACGATGAGCAACGTTACCATAGAGGACTCTGGGGTGGCTGGTGTGTTTGTGCAAAGGGGAGGTGTGTGCCGTTTTGAGCAATGCGTCATCAAGCGTAGCAAAGAGGATGGCATTCGAATGGAACAGGCGGGTGCGGTAGTGTTTGAGCAGTGCAGCATTTTGGAACAGCACCAAGGCGTTAAGACAACAGGTACTTTGGGGACCGCACGGGCTGATGGTGAGCCGAAGCTTATAAACTGCACAATAGACGGTAGCTTTTGCGAAAAGGGTGTGCTAAGTACAAAAAAGAGCATCGTGCGCCTGGAGCTATGCAAAATCAGCGCCCGTTCTCCAGAAAAGGGACGCGGTGTTGTAGTGCAGGATGGCGGAACGGTTTTGCTCTCGCAGTGCGATGTTTTTGGGTGCCCTCGTGTTGGTGTGATCGCCTCGGCCATGTCGCAATTGATGGTGGAAAACTCAACCATCGATGATTGTGGTATTGGTGTCTGCTTCGGTTTGGAGCAGGACAGTTCGTCTTCACGGCATACGCAGATAAAATTGAACAATTCCGCCGCCCTCAATATGGGCGATAATGTCAATAAAGTTTCCATGTGCGATGACACAAGATGGAAGCCGCCCACGCTCTCTCAGTTGACCATCAGAGGATGTACAGAGGCTGGTATCTGGTTTGAATCTTGTGGCTTGGGTACGGTAAACTGCACGACGGTAGTTGAATGCACCAAGGGGATTGTTTTACATCATGGGAGCACCGCTATGGTGGATGCGACAGTTGTACGCGGCTCTGTGGACTGCGGTATCCTGCTGCTTGGCCGGCCTTCGAGCCACTCTGTGCTCACTCACTTGAGCATTAGTGACTCGGGCGGCTGCGGTGTGAAGATGGAAGAAGGGGCTGTGGATGATGAGGAAGAGGGAGAGGGAATGGACGAAAAAACGCCCTTGACCATCCAAAATTCTGAGGTTCTGCGAAACGCAAAAGGTGGAGTTGTGTTGGAGACGTGCGCTTATTTTGAACGGTGCACATTTGCCCACAACGCCGAGGCAGGTGTCCTCTGCAAAGGGAACTTTTGCCCGGTGTTCTCAGCCTGCCACTTGACGCGCAATGCGGAGAAGAATCTCGAGGCACAATTCGGCTCCAGGCCCGAATTGCGTGATTGTGTCGTGGAACATGCCCCGGTTGGAGTGCGTGTGAGGTCTATCGTGAAGATGACACGATGCATCGCGCAGCATCTTGGCATCGCTGTTGATCTTTGCGTTGGTGAGAAATCTTCTGACGTTTCACGACTATCGGAGTGCGTCTTTACCAACAATGAAACGGGTGTCTCCTGCGCCGGTGAGGCCTCCCAGGAGACTTGGGGTCAGATTGCCATTGAGGGATGTACCTTCCACGATAACCGAGGGACAAGTATCAGCGTTCACGAGGGTCCAAAAATGCTGCTGAAGACCTGCAACTTTGAATCATCTCGGGAATGCGTCAAACTCACGGAGGGGGCGGAGGTGACTATTGAGGAATGTGAATTCAAACGAAATTCGAGGGGCATTACCTCGTCCCATGCGGCGTCAGTGGAAGTGAAGAAGTCTATCTTTACTACCCATACCCAGCATGCAATAAGCATCATGGGTAGCAGCGGGGAAGCCCACATTGTTGGCAACAGCTTTTGTGGAAACACCACTCACGGTATCTTCCTGTTCGCGATAGGAAACGTCGTTTTGGTGAATGGCAACAGTTTCGAAACGGATGTGTGCAGCATCTTTCTGCAGGAGACACCGCAGGCTTTTGTCTATAACAATTGTTTTCATGCATGTCAGACAGGTATCGTGTTCCACGGCGCAGGACTTTGTGGGAATGTCTTTGGAAATACCTTTGAAAAAAATAGATGTGGTTGCCGTTGCGACGAAAATGCCACTACGTACTTATGGCGAAATACGTTTGAAGAAAACAGTGAGTACGGGATATTTGTTACCGGCGGAGCAATTCCAATGGTTGTCGATAACTCTTTTTTGCGCCATACGGCCCCCAGTAGCGTTGCTCTGTGCGTTTGTGGCGGAGGGATTGGACACTTTGCCTTTAATCGGTACACTGGAAATGCGTGCGGAGCACAGTTGGAGGGTACAGGCAACAAGACTTTCATCAATAATAGCACATTTGAGGAAAATGACATTGCCATCCGGCTAAAGGAAGGGGCTGTGGTACATGTTGTGGCGTGTACGTTTGTATCTAGTGGTTCAATGGACATTTTTGCATCCGGTGCAATCGAACGAGATGAATGTGTCGTGGCATATAACACTTTCTTTTCTAATCGCTCTGCTGCCGTTACGGTGGAGGAAAATGCCGGGGTGACAGTTTACCGCTGTATATTTTGTGGAACGGAAGGCACAGGAGTTGTGCATGGTTGCCGTGGAAAAGGCTTGGTACTCGAATGTCTCTTCTACGAACTTGCCTGTGGTGTTCGCATTGCGGAGGGCGGAGGAGGCAACATCAGAAAGAGTTCTTTCATCCGCTGCGCCACGGCAGTGGAGGTGCGCCAACTCGGTTCTGGACACTTTGACTCGTGCAAGTTCCTTGCTCGCCCAACTAGCGCGCCGGTGCTTGTGTCTGTCCATCAATCCTCTACGCCGACCTTCCAGCAGTGTGGTTTTGTCGGTTGGTCAGAAATGCTGCATCCGCTCCTGCAGTCAAGCGGTGGTGGGCTTGTCGAGGGCTCGTCATTCGTCGCAGGTGGCATCTCTGTGCTCTTGGAGAGTGGCTCTCAAACGAAACTGCGACGGAACACGTTTTTACGGGGCGTCATTGGCGTGAGGTTCAACCCATATTCGCAGGGGCAGGTAGTGCAGAACACGTTTCACCGGCATCTTTTAGCCGCGGTGAATCTCATGGACAACGCCACGGGAGAACTACAAGAGAACGTGTTTGCCCAGCCACCAGAAGGCGGCGGTATGCTGGTAGGGTTACACAATGTACTTATAGAAGCAAATAATGTCCTTGAGAGCCCTCCGACACGGGCCGAAAAGGAAATGTCTGACCGCGCAAGCCTGGAGCCCAACCTCATTGCCATATTTGCCGAGTACCTTTCCGAAGCACCGCACTGGGCAAGGCATGCTATGGGTGAGACTCCGCACGCCTCTGCATTGCCGTTGCCCATCCTAACAGCGATGAGCATGCCGGGGACGAAAAATGAAAATGAGGAAGGGAATGAGGTGGAAAATGCAGTTAAGGAAGCGGCGGTGGGCGATGCCACACAGAAAGGGAAAATACGCCCTCAAGCAAAACGTGTGGAGGGCTCTAAACCTGTTGGGAAGGGTGGGAAAAAGATACTGTCGAAAAGTTTTACCCTTTCTTTGAGCGACACAATTGTTTCCGCGCCACAAGGCGTTCAGGAAGCCCTTGCGAAGTGGGTGGAGATGCATGGTGTTACATTAAACGTGGAGGAAGAGATTCGCCCCACTGTTCCTGAACCAATGAGGCAAATACGTGATCATGATATGTTACGAGACTTTAGTGAGCACTTCTCTGCCGTAGCGGAGGCTCAGCATGCCAAGGAACGAGGGCACTTTGCAAAGAATGAGTCCAAACAAACCAGAGGAGCTGTCATGCACAAACAGGGACTGGATGATAGTAAAAATGCATCTTCAACCCATAGCCAAAATGCTACGCGGGAGGATTCCAGGAGGTCAAGTGGCGTGAAAGCCCTAGTTTCTGTGAAACGATTGTTTTCTACAGAGTTTGCTCCATGTTCTCGTATTGCCGCCAGGACTGAGGCACCAAGTGGCCTTCAGGTCAAAAAACAAGCCAAGCGGAGGCGTCGCCGAAGTCTTCCCCCGCCATTGAATAGTTGTAGCCGGAAGGCTCAACCATCCCGTCAGCCTATCCGTGGGCCGATTGCCACACTCACGGGTTGTCTTCATAAATGCGCTGTGGAAAGTACTCGCAGACCAAAAAAGGAGGAAATTTTTGAGAAAATCAGTATTGATGCCAATTCTGCGACGGAGTTGGCAATATTTTGTGAGGAGGAAGCCCAGTACTCTTCCTCTTCACTTGGAAATGGCAGGGGAAGGCATAGTGGAACTTTGAGTTTTCCCCTAACTGGGGCTGAGAATGTGTCCAGAAGCGGGCATGATGATGACGCCTGTATTCGAAGTGGCGTGGAGAGTCTCTCAAGGATTAGCGTGCCGCCTTCTCAACGTAGTGCGGTTCCGGATGCGCAAGCACTGAGTCAATTGAGTGGCCACGAGGGATTCTTTACAAAATTCGAAGATGCAGTTCCCGGTAGTAATACGATGTGGAGAGAGACGGCGTCGATTTCCAGCAGGAGCTGTTCGCAAGGTCCCCTGGAATTGAGGGGTGCGTCGCCCCTGGAGAATCTCTCAAAAAGTGGAGTAAGTGCTGAATCAAAGACGGACATTGAGCGGATTAAAATGATATCACCGAGAAGAGACCTTGTCGCGAGGAACGCATATGGGCAGGGCGCAAAACGCCACGTTGGCGGCAGAAATCGCTTCGGCGGAAGCAGTAGCCTTCACACCTCCTCCTTAGATGAAGAGCGCGCTCGTTTGAAGAATGGCACCAAAGAAGTGCTGTACGCCACCCAAATAAACGATGGTGATGGCGATGATGGGATACCGGCCAAGAGGTCCGCACCGCTGAAAGAAACCCCTTACGGCAGACGGCGCCGGAAGGATCGTGAAAGGGAGGACGCCGATGAAGTGGAGGTGAGTAACATCATTAAAAAGAAGAAGCTCGCAGAACAGGGCTTTAGTCGCACTAAAAAAAACGGTCGCAAGCGGAAGAAGAGCGTAGGGAGCAAGAATAAAGTTGCGAATCCCACATCCACCAAGGTGTCTCAAACTGGTAACTCACACGGAAGCCTCCAACTTTCTTCGGGGACGCATTATCCGATGCCCTTGTCGAGTCCTGCAGTTCCCTCTTCAGGGTCTGGGAGTTTTCGTGGAAGCATGGATCCGGCGAGGGCTGCCGAGACACTGGGGAAATCCGCAACCAAAGCCGCATCATCATCGACATTCTCCCCGAGAGCCAAAGGAAAGGTGGGCGAGGTCGAAGGTTCACAATCTGGTTTTCATTTACAAGACAAATCAATTGTAGCTGAGGGAATTCCGGGGAATTTTTCCGCATCACCGCCCGTCAAGGATGGAGCAGATGAAGAGAATTTGGATTCGGAACAATTGGGTAAAACAGCGCGATATCCCCACAATCGTTCCCACACGGCAGTCCCACGTTCTGGTAATGAGAGTTGGGAGGCCATGGGCTTGGAAGATACTCTGCAACCAAAGGATGCCTCTCGTCACACAAATACCGCGAGCGAATTCAAAAATGCAGGCTCTTTATTGGATCTTTCTCATGGCGACGTTGAGGGAAGGGAAAGGAACAGGAAGTTTATGAGTCCTACGTTGTTGAATCCATCAGAGCAAAGACCCATAACAGTCACCATGTCCTTATTGGAGCTCCATGGGGAAGGACATGCATCCGAACAGGAGAGCGAGAGGAAAGAAAAGCGTTCTGAATCTGAAGATCATGATGAAGTGCACCTTCCCAAGATTGAGGCTCCATTATTACAGAACTCTCACAAAATTTGTAATAACAGCACTGCCAACAAGAGCAATGATATTCATAGTAACAATATTATTGATATTTATGATCATGAGGTTGAGGATCGTAAAATGGGCAATGTCTTGGAGATTTCTGCTGTTCCCTCTCTTTCCGGCAAGGGTCGTGCGTTGCTTGGGGTCCTCGGGGACACCGTTCTACAGGACGATGCTGTTCTGCAAGAACATGTGAGTGGTGCGCGTGCTGGGCCAATTCGAAGCGATTCATTGGCATCTGGGGGATCTGGAGCGTCGCTACCCTTATTGGAAGACAGATACATTCAAAAAGGGACGAAGATGATGGAAGCGGCAGCAGTGGCAACAAAGAAAGAATGGGATGAAGAAAAAGATAGTGATGATGATGATGAAGTGGAGGATATCATTGCTCTTCTTCGGTGGCTTGTTCAACTGCGTGAGCATAGGCTTCTTACAGCAGATCGCTTTAGCAAGGCTGTTGACTGCATCCGGGTGAACACCAACGTTCCATTCTTTCTTTGTGAGGGAAGTAGAGCGGGTGAGGCACCGACGTTGATGTTGCGTTTGCCACGAACCGCCGACGAGGCTGTGATCATCCCGTTGTTTGGATCAACAATGGAAATGAGAAAACGGACGCAACGCGTCGAGGAGGGAGAAAACAACTGTCCCCAGTCCCAAAGAAGGGGTTTAGGGCTTATAAGGGGTGCCACCGATACAAGCAAAGAGTTTAAGGAGCAGAACTTGTCGTGGATGTACAAAATGGCCAGCGATGAAGTGAGGGAAGCAGATGCGACGCGAATCATCCAAGTTCCAGCCCAGGCATTTCATAAGGTCAGGCCCCCTCCCCTTTTTGCATCTGCCAGGCCCTCACATGATCACCGCCAGGTGAGTGAAGAAACAGTGATGACATTAGGACCCGCAAATGAATCTCGACTATTTTCACGGTCTTCTCCTCAGGCGCTTGGCGTACTACGAGTGTCGCAGGAAAGCTTCCAAACAGGCGTGGCTGATTCAATTGTGAAGCCGTTGCATAGGAGTAAAGGGCAAAAGGCCTTTTTCACCCGGGCGTTCCTCCATAAGACTCGTCACGATGCTATGACGAGTTTCAATCCTGCAATTCCAAAAGAGACTTCACCCTATAATAAATCAACGAGAGTAGCTGCATTTATAGCTTTGGGCACAATGAATTTCATGGCGTAAATTTACATTTTTGTTGCATCACACGGTTTGTGCCGCTGTAGTTGCTTTTTTTTTTTTTTTTTTTTTGTGTGTGTGTGTATGTATGTACGTGTTTCTGCATGTTCTTCAATCCAAATGCGCAGAGCGATGTAAAGTTATTCGACAAGTTGCTTTTCCCAGTGAACGGACGTTGAAAGATCTGACTTTGGAGAAGAGAGGGGGTGGTGACTTTTATTTTCTTTTGAATTAAGAAAATATATATATATGGGACAACGTTATACATACGTTGCTTCTGTTTTAAACGTTTCTTTTTTCCTTTTTTTTGATTATCCTTCTATTTTCTTTTTTGTGGTGTCTACATGAGGAAGTTTGTTACTATTTTTGCTGCTTGAGCTGCTGCCGTTTGTCTTTAGTGGTGCAGGGAATTTGTCCGGCAGAGATGGATATCCTGCGGCTGCTCTCCGTTGCCTACGGCGGGAGCAAAGAGGAGCGGACGGAGGCGACAGCGCAATTGGAGAGCGCAGTGCAGTCTCCCGATGGTCCTCGGCACCTTGTGACTCTTTTGCGTGCTGGAACCGATCTGGCGTTGCCAGCGGAGCAAAGTCTCTCAGCACTTATTTACGCCAAGAATTATATTATGGGCACCTTTGATGAGCACATTGCCGCCGCACCTGGCGTGCTAGAAGAAGTGAAGTCTCTCCTTTACCATGGTGCCTTTCATGCTCCGTCGACACATCAGAAGATCATCCACACGTGTGTGGCCGGCATCGTTAGTTCATTTGAGTGGAACTATCTTCCTCAGCTTCTGCCGGAGATCACCCGGGAACGAACAGGTATTCCCGTTGAACATGCATTAGCCTCGTTGAGACTGTTGTATGTATTCGTCAAGCGGTTTAAGACTCCGGGATTAGAACCAATGCCCATGAAGCTAGTGGTTTGCAACTGTCTTCTCTCGGCACTTTCTCCTTTTCTCTCGTATGGGGACCTGCAAGTCGATCACATGGTACTGAAGGCTATGAATTGCGTTGTGGAAACGGCGCTGCAAACAAATCAATTGGAAGATGTCCCGCCAGAGGCGTTGAATGCGTGGCTTTACGAAATGGCTCATTATCCAGAGCGTCACTTTGTCGCGGCTTCTGAGGCGGCAGCGAGTGGATTGCAGAACGTGTACGAAACATACGTACGTTGTCTTAAGCAAATTGCCATGATTTCCTTTTCTATTTTGAACGACGCAACAAGAAAAAAGAACCCCTCGCCCTTGGCAAAGCAATTTCTGGCGTCTCATGCCTCAGTCTTCCTTGGGGTATGGCAAAGGTGGTTGGAGTACGCTGCGACATGTCGGGCGCGTGGTGTACACCACAAGACGGATATGTACGCTATTCGCTATATCAAACTCTGCACATTGGATAGGACGCTTTATCAGCAGTATTTACTCCCGCAGCTGATGCACGTGGTTGAATCCCTCTTGTTTCCATACCTATGCTTTAGCGAGGAGGACGAACCGGCGTTTGCCGATGAAGGTGACCTGTCTGAATTTGCACAGTATATGATGGAAGAGGGATTTGAGCAGAGTGAGGTGTCGCAGAGGCAGGCTGCATCCAACGCCATTGTGGCGATTGTTAGGGGCGAAAAGGATTTTCACGAAGACCTCTTGCAGAAAGTGATTGAATTTCTCATAGCAGGTCTCTCGCGGGAAGACAATGACAAGACGTTTCCGCAGGCCTTTGGTTTTTTGCATCTTTTATCTATATTGAGACGACACTTTAGGCGGGTTCCTGAGATATGGGAAACGCAAATGGCGCGGGTGCTTGTCACATTTGTGACCCCGCGCGTTTTACCCACCGTTCCATACATTCCGCTGCGGTGCAAAGCCCTCGTCGTATGCCAACGATATTCCAAGGCTCCTATTCCCTCCGAAGAGGACTTTGCTGCTTTCACGCAACTTGTCTCCTCCCTTGTGCAGGATGCTGATTCTCGAATTCGCCTGGGCGCCATTGATGCCCTTTGCACGTTCCTGGAGATGAAGCGAGCGCTTCCGTATGTTCGGCCGATTCTTGTGCCGTTGGTTGAGGAATGTATTGGTTTTCTTAACCGCGTGCAAACATCCTTTGTTCCCACCGCTCTGCTGTACTTGGTGGAGCATTTTGCGCCCGAACTCACTTCAGTACTCGAAAAAATTGGTAAGACGCTTATACAACACTTTTTGGCAACGGCATTTGATCTGGCGCAGCAGGAAGATGTGATGGATGATGAACATGTATCACAGTATTGGCGCACAGACATGAGTGCATGTGCGCTGTTGAACGCGATAGATACCATCGTTGAAGCCTCTCGTCACCATATGGAGGTTTTCTGTAGCCTGAGGCCAGAAGTCCTGTTTTTGGCGAAGAAAGTATTGGAGCATCCGGATGATTTTGAGTTTATAGAGAAGACTCTTGCTATTTTGTTGAATGTCATCAATTTCTCCAAGCCAATCCCTCCCGAGTGCTGGAATGTGCTTCCATTGTTATTTCAGTCTGTGGATTCCGGTATCGGCGTGGATTTCTTTGTTGCCATAGAAGAGGTACTTGACAGCTTTGTCTCGAATGGGACGCTGGAGTTTCTGCGGAATGCCGAGCTCATGGAGGCAACATATCAGGCTTGCGAGAAGATGTTATTTAAGTGCGCCTGCGGTGTCGATGATCAGATTGCCGTGCCCCAGTTGATTGAAGCGATGTTGCATCAGGCAAAACATTGTGAAGTCGCCCCCGGTTTGTTTGACGCGCACCTTCCCCGTTTTGTCGCGTTACTTCTGCGAGCTCTCGCAGACGACTCTATTCGCCAAGGCGAGGTGCGTCTTCAGATTTGGATCATTGCGGCACTGATGGATGCCCTTTACTACAATGCTGCAGCAACCATGCAAATCATAACCAGTCACAACGCATACCCGCAGTTTTTTGATGCATTTTTTCACTTCTTCCGCGGCGCCATTGATCCGGCCCACGCCGCCAAGGGTGGGAAGAAGCGTAAGAAGGACACGGCGGCCGAAGTTGTTGAAAATCTTTCTATTCTCACACGTAAAGTTATTGTTTTGGGGTTGACTGCCCTCTTGGAGGAATTTTCCGCCAACTGCCACGGCAACGGGGGTGGCAGCAGCATCGGCCTGGCCTCGTTTGACGTCTACGTCTCACCGACACTGGCCCTTATTCAACACTGTGTTTTTGTCAACGATGTTTTTCTTGCATCACGCTGCCGCATAACGGAGAAGAACCTGGAGAAGATTCGACAGGGCGTCGAGGTGGAGGATGTGTCTGATGTCGACCTCAACGATGATGATGTGCTTGGTATCGATGCTGGCGACGAAGTGGCAACTCTCGACGACGACGTCGAAGAAGACGAATGGGAAGATGACGGAGAAGTCGGTCACTGTCAAGACGAGGGCGATAATTACGAAAGTCCCATTGATGACGTGTGCGAGGTGACGCTCTTCCTGCAGTGGGTCGCAAAGGCGGAGTGCCTCGGCGGTGCCGTGCAGCGGCACATGAAAACCGCCCTTTCAAAGTCGTTGCAGGAGTTCCGTGAGGCCGAAGCCACGGCGCTGCGTTACCGGCGCCTGGTGCAGGCGTTGGATCATGCGAAGGACGAAAATTACGGGGCACGCTCCGCCGCTGCAGCGAATTTGTAAAAGAGGAATGGAGCAAGATTTAAATGGAAGCCAGGAGCAGGGAGAACTTTGCATGATAACAGAATTGACGCGACACGGAAGAGAAGAAGAAGAAGAAAAAAAAACGAAGCGAAAGAGGGGGAGGAAGGGAGCAAAAAGTGTTGTCGGCTCTGTTTTTTGATATCCTGAGAAGAGATGCGATTCTAATTTAAGGCAATCGCCTGCGTGTAATTAACTGGCCGAATCTGCGGGCCCCATTGCCATGGGAGGGAAGAGTTTTCTTTCGTTTACCCGAGAATGCGGAATACATCTATCTTTGTGCTGTGCTAACGCTTTATTTTATACCTCTGACGCAGGTGACTGCTGATGATGCACGCACAAATGTTTCTTTTTATTCCTGTTGTTTTTTCTGTTTTTTTGTGTCTTAAAAAAAGGGGGGGAACTGGTAGTTGAAGGACAAATACAAAACAAAAGGGACGCAAATTTGTTTTACTTTTTTTTTTTTTGTTTTTCTTTTGGTGGGTATTTGGTTTGGTTTGGTTTGGTTTTGACTCTTCTCTGCCCGTATTTCTTTTGGAAGAGTTTGCCCTCGCCGGAGGGACGAGGGGTCCGAAGTAAAACGAAAAAAAAAAAAAAAGAATAAAAATAAAAATAAGAGTGGCCAAGAGAAGGAAATAAAACGCAGGGAAAAAGCGTGGGGCCTGGGCTTGGAATTTGGTGTGGGGAAAAGGGGGATAGGCGATGGGCAGCGCCGTCGCACGGCACAGGGAGAACACCGGGCCAGGCGGAACGGCAGCCTCTTCTTTTGCGGGATGCCACACCGGCACGACAACAAACCGGCGATCTCACTGGATGCCTGCAGCCAATAAGGCTGCTGAGAAAACAGAGTCATCGAGGAATTTGACTGCGGTAAAAAGTAGCAGTCCGAATGCGTCATCGTCATCGCCTGTGAGCATTGAGGCAAGGAGAAAGGTAGATGTCAAGAAGCCGGAGCCTCCACCACCACCACCTGCCGTTAGTTGTCTGGTGCCGTCAAAGCATCTACCAAGCTTGCGTAAGCCGTTGGAGTGGGAATTGTTACCGCTTCCAAATGCGCAGGGAGCCGCAATGAATCGTGGCAAAGCATCTCCTAAACTCTTGCCTAGAGAAACTACTGGGACCGATGAAAAGCCCAACGAAACTGGCAGAGGCCTTTCCCCTACCCCAATGTCTCTGAGTGGTCCACCGACACAGGATAGTATTGGGAAAAAGGACATAGTGGTGAGGAAACCGCCTTTCAGAAACCGAGTTGAGTGCGATGAGGACCTTCCCACGTCTGTGGAGCCTGGCTCGGATGGAACATTGCCGTCCAAGTCGACGAAGAAGAATACCCCTCATTCAGGTGCTTTCAATTCTTTAGCCTCAAATAATTTGGACAGTCGCTCGTCCGATTTCTTTGGGGATTTTGTTGCCCGCGGTTTCATGCCGTTTAGGGATACTAATTTGCTGTGGTTTAATGTAGACTTTGACCGAAAGTTGCTTAAACGGCGTGAGCATTGTGATGTGGTCTGGTGTCCACTTGAGGAAATTGCACTTCCGGAAGTGGACGAGACGTCCAAGGAGGCAGCGAAGGAAACTCCGGAGTCTCCAATAGCAGAGGAAAAAATAATCTCAGTACGCAACCCCAAAAAAACACAGCAGCAGCAGCAACAGCAGCAACAGCAACAGCAACAGCCAAAAAGGGACAATTCCAACAGACCTCGCATTCGGCCTATTCTTTCTAGCGATGTTCCTCACCGTATGCAGTTAGCAAAGAAGGCCATTGAAGATAATGTTATTTTTATTTACTCACGTGCACCGAAGCTATACTAATGGAATGAAAGGGAAAATATATGTGCCTACATATGTATATTTATGTGTTTTTGTTGTTGTTGTTGTTGTTGTTGTTGTTGTTGTTCTATAGGGCCTACAAAAACACGTAAAGCCTCTAAGAGAAAAGTGGATGAAATTCAAAGAGAAAAAACAACGGCAGAGAAATGAATGAGGGAAGCTGGAACGGTGGGCATTTATTGTTTGTTGTTAGATTGGGGAGGAGAGACAGGAGGTGTTTTTTTTTTTTTTTCTTTTTTTTTTTTGTTTTTTGTTTTTTTTTTTTTTTTTTGCTGTTGTGATTGCTGGTATTCTTATTAATTTCCTTTGGTGTTGCTGTTTTTCTGAGAATAGTCGCGGGGCCGTGGAGGGAGAGTTCGGGAAGAGATGTACGGACTTGCTTTGGCAGCGCTTAGCTCCCCTTTCCCCTTCAGTCCACATATCTCCCCCTCCCTTTCCCTTAAAAAAAAAAAAAAAAGGATTCTTTTCACAGTCTGAGAACAGGCGGTGCCCCTCTTGGTTAAAAGGACGTTTTTGAAGGTTCCGAGTGACATTCATTCTGTGCGTGGATCACCGGGCGAGAATATGCCCGCTTGGCCGGTGGTTGTGGTAGCGAGGGTCCGCTAATTGTTACTTTATTGGTTAATAATCTTTTTGTATGTTTGCTCCAGTCAAGGAAAAGAATTTATTGCGCACCTCTTATGCGACAATCAAAAGTGTTTTTGTTTCTCTCTTTCTCTTGGCACATCCCCCTTCTGCCGGTTGTTGTCCCCAAACATGTACCGTATTTTCCTATTTTTGTTCTTGTTTGTTCGTTTTTTTCCCCTTGGGTGCGGAGGGGCCGATTTCTATTCTCCGTGCCGGTGTACATGCATTTGAATACGCGTAGGCATGTCGTCCGCACTGTAGTCGTTCCAACTGTTTAAGATGCGAGTTGGGGAAAGGCGAATAAAGAGGAAGTGAAGACGTGACGAATTGGGGAGGGGGTGCAGTGGGAACTGTACATGTGAACAGGTCCTTTTTCCTTTTTTTTTTTTTTTTTGCGTTCACCTCGCTTTTTGCTTTTTGTCTTCCCCATGCATTTTTGCGTTTTGTTACCTGGAATTCATGCTGTGGCCATACAGGCATGCAGTTTTCTCACGGCGGTCGTAAAACGGGTTTCCTCCTCCCCCCCCCCAACTTCGTCCACACTTCATTTTGTTGTTGTTGTTATTTCGTCATCCCCTTCAATTCTTATCATTTTTTTTGTTGTTGTTTTTGTTATATTGTTTTTGCATTTTTTTGTTTGTTTGTTTTTTCTCTCCCTCTCATTTTTTAGTTGTTGTTGTTGTTGTTTTTCCTTGCTTGCTTTGGTGGTAGTCCATAGAAGCAGCTCTCACATGCATACATAATACAATACATATTTGTATGGTTTTATTCTTACACTCGAATAAACAGAGTCATTTATGTCCGGGTGGAAAGGGGATGGGAAGGGAGGATGGGCGAATAAAAGACTGTGGAAATGAGTAATGGAAGATCACTTAAGCGGGAAGCCGGTTAATCCATACGTTTATGATGATGTGTGCAGCGATGTGAGAGGTGACGGAATTCAAAAAAACATATATATATATATTGAGCAAAACAAATGATGAAAGAAGCGTGGAATTCTTTTTTTTTTTCTTTTTTCTTGTTGTTTTGGGAGGGCAGTGTTGCTGGCAATACAGGCGTTGCATCCCTCCCTTCCCCTCCCCTCCCAATGCAGTAGAAATAAATTACAAAAGAAGCAAAAAAAGATTTGGCGGGAAAGAAAGAAAGGAAGGAAAGCAGAAGGGTGGAGGTGGTGGTTTGATGCAAATTGGAAACGCGTATGCCACAAATGTGTGCGGCATGCAGGAGGAATCGTCTTGAAGGAATGGGGATTGTTGGAGGGAAGACAGAAGTAACACAACAACAATACTGAAAAGACAAAACGGAGAATGATGGATTTTTTTTTTCGCTTTTTTTTTCTGTGTGTGTGCGTGCGTGCGTTTTGGATGAACGACTTTTATGATTGTGTTTTTCTGGTGTGTTTTTTTTTTTTCCATCCCTCCCTCTTCTTCTTTACCTTTCATAGAGAAACCCCCCCCAAAAAAAAGGGAAAATAATAATAAATGAGGGCAGTGTTTTTGCATAATCTTTGTGTATGGGCACATGTAAATAAATGTATTTGTTGTGGCTGCGCGAGTGGACGCGAATTCCTGCGCCGTTGCGAGCTATCAGGGGGGGGGGGGAGGAGGGAGGGGGGCACTGGAGACTGGAAGAGGTGGAAATGTCATGACTAATTTTGTGCTGCACGTGCTATATGTATTCCCGTGACGCTAATTTACTTGTGAACACGTCTTTCTGTTACTTTTTTTTTTTTTTGTGTGTGTGTGTGTGTTTTTGTTTTTGTTTTTTCTTTGCTTTTGCTCTGTTTTTGAGGGGGAGAGAGGGGGGTGCGAGACACATTTATTTCTTCTTTTCTTTGTGCGTCCGAGTCTATGTTGCTGACTTGCGCTGTCTTTTTTTTTTTTTTTTGCCGTATTCCCGGCGCCACCGTCACTCATACGTCTTTAAAAAAAAAAAAAATAAAGGGCGTTTTTTCTCTCGTACGTTTGTGCTTTTTGTGCGTGTATAATGAAGTCCCCTTTTCTTTTTTTTTTTCTATTTTGTGTGGTGTGTTTCTTCTGTTACCTCACGTATGTTTTTGGCCGTCCTTGTCTTTCTGTCCCACGCGGTGCCGGCACCAAAACAGCTTTCAATTTGCCCTTTTCAGGGTGCATTTAGTTACTCCTTGCCTTTTTTTCCCTTTTTTTTCTTTGTGTGTGTGTGATTTCACTCCGTCACACACCTGAGGAGAGGGAGAAAGGGGGAAAGAGAGAGAGTGTGTGTGTGTGTGTGAATGTTTTCTTCTGTTTTTGATGACAACCCCTTCGCAGAGGAGTTTGAGGGCGAGTCACCGATGCGTGATGGCCGCTTAAGCGCCGCTGGCGTGGAGAAGCGTGAGCGCGACACGGAGGGTCTCGTGGAGGGCGAACCACCGCTGAAAATGTCTTGCCAGGAAGTTGCCCCCGACGACGGCAGGGAGGCCGATGCGGAGGTTGCCGCACCGTACATTGGATACCTGCTGGAAGACGCGGAGGAGGGCAACGAGGAGAATGAAGGCACGGACGACAATTACATCGCATTTCTTTGCCGCGTGGCGGAGATGGAGGCGGCGCTGCGACAATCCGCACGCGTGCATCAGTTTAGGATGACACTGGCAACGCAGGAAAAGGATGCTCTTCACAGAAGCATCGTTACTCTTCGACGCTCATTGTTGGAATCTCAGGAAAGCCGTCAAAAGGCCTCTCAGGGCGCCGCGAAGGCTGGTGGTGCCGAAAAGGCCGCGGAATCGCAGGAGGAAAAGGAAAGTCCTGTCGATCTCGCTGCTTTGCTTAAATTTTGTGATACCGTCACGAGGGCGAAGAGACTCTCCACGCACCTCCATTTACTGCAGGGCTTAGAGAAATGCCGAGACCATGTGACGGGTGAACACCGCACCGCGTCCGTTGCGTCGGGGAGTTGGATGCCTACACCGTCACTCACTGAAGTTGAAACGTCGTTCCGTCAACCCTGTCATGCGGAGATGCAAAAATTTGAAGATCTACGAGGTGCCATGGAGAGGGCGCAGGGTCGATGTGATGCCCCCGTAGCACGTGTGATGATTGCGTTTCAAAATGAAATACAACGACTCTGCGCGAAGAGCGATGCCTTGTCTGAGGTAAAAGCATCCCTCGAGTCACAGGCCAAAGCACTGATGGTGAGGTGGAACGAACACGTCTTGTGGGGAACTGAACGCTCACTCCTTGTTGCTGAGGAAAAGATGCGGAGTCACTTGTTAGCTTCCCACCCCCCATTCTCAGAGCAGCAGCTTTTTCTTCAGCAGAAACAACTACAGAAGCGACTTCACCGTACGGAATTGGCTCTTGCGACGTTGCTTGCTGCTATCACGGGTACGCATCTGAAGTCGATGACGCCTGCCGCCCTACAAGCCACGCTTTCTCGCCAGCAAGAATTGGAAAGTCTACGGGATCGGTTGAGTCGTGAGGTGTTTTACCTACGTAAACTTCTGCGCGACAAGTTGGTCACATCTTCGCGACTTGTGTGCGACCCGAGCCTAGCTGCACATACCACAGCGACAGCGGAAGAGGGAAAAACTGTCCTTTTGCAACACTTCTGTGCATCACTTGCTGGGCGCTTAGCCGAGTTGACCGAAGGAATTGTCTCAGAATTATTAGAAGGCTCTACGGCATGTGCAACTTCCGCCGAACAGGAAGAACGCCTATTTTTTTATGAAACAAAGGCGGGAACGTTACATGCTTCCATTGTGGCATTTCTCACTGAAAACGTTCGGCTGCAGCAGGAGATTAAAGATGCGGCGTTGATCAAACTTATGGCGACCCCCGACAGTAATGCGGTCATGCTTTTGGCCGAGCGGTTTCAGAACCTGCTTCATTGCAAGCGAAATTTGGGGCATGGAGAGGAAGAAGAGGAGGAAGGACTCAGCAATGACAGGAAATGTGAAAAAGAAGAGAATGAGGAAGACTTGGATGAGCAGAAGCTGCTCGTTGATACTTTCATGGAGAGCACCGCAGGCCTTCTGAAGGTGCTCAATGCACACTTGCAGCGCGTCACAGAACTTTTTAGATGTGAGAAGCATGGTTTTAGGGAGGCGGCGTTTCTTTTGCGAATGATAGTTGCAGCCGATCGTCTCCTACTTGGGAAGGTTGGTGTGCCTCCCGCCGCTGGCTTCACATATGATATTGTCGAGGAGATGGAAGAGGCCCATGTCTGTTTTAAGCCGCCAAAGAACATTCTGCAGCAGTTGCCCTCACTGAATACACTTCAGGCGACTTTTGAATCCCATTCAAGGCGTCATGCGGCAAGCCTCTTGACGCAATACAGGGAGGCTGAGAGGACCCGGAAGGAATTGCAGGATGACGTGGAGTGGTGCAGGCAGCAGCCCCCGCAAAATATCGGGGCTGATCTTCGTGGGGCCCAAAAGGAGCTGCAGAATTTGAAAACCGCATTATTAGCGGCAGTGACCCGTGAAAAGGAAGTCGCATCGCTTGAGATTGAGCTGGTGAAGAGCAGGGAAAAACTTGCCGAGGTCCGTCTTGAGAAGCTTGCCCTTGAACAGGAACTCGCCGCGGCGGAGGAGCAGTTGCGAATGGCTCAGGAGACGGAAGAGAGTGGAAAAAATAAGGTGATGGATGCGCCGGCTCCTTTTGAGTTGCCGCCACCAGACCCCGCTGAGGGTGATGACAGCATACATGACGATTACGATGCGAATGGATGAGCAGGAGAATGACGCGGACGATGTTTTTTTTTAAGTCGGAGTGTCACTTGAAAAGGGCGGAGACAAATGAGGAACACCGAAATAGTGATGCCTTAAGGTCAGCGAGGAAGAGAGAGGAAGAGAGAGAAAAAAAAGGGGACGTCTGCTGCCGTTCTTTCTTTGGGTAGGTGCGTACACTTCCATCCATATTTCATTCTCTCTTTCCCACAAGATGTCTTCTGCCACCCGTTCTTTAAGGACTTTTTTTTGTTTCCTTTTTCTTCTTCTTTCTTATTGTGAAGTATGTCTTCCGCCAATGCCGCTGCGGCTGAGCTCCTTGAAGCCTTCCGAGCCTTGGACACGCAGCGAGTCGGTTGGGTCCCCACGTTAACTTTGAAGAATCTTCTCGAGAAGTTTGGGGACTTTTCCACCTCTGAGAAGGAGGAGTTCATTGCCGAGGCGGACCAGGGGGGACGAATATATTACGAACGGTTTGTGAAGGAAGTTCTTTTTGATGGCATCCGATGATGACGACGACGAAGATCTTTTAGTGTTGGAGGTGCAGACACATACAGATAAAACCGTTCTCTGCTTCCATCTTCTATCGTGTTTTTTTTTTTGTTTTGTTTTTTTTACGGCGGTTTTATTTATTCATTGTAATGGTTTGGAAATTTAAAAAAAAAACGACATTTATTGGGTGTTGAGTCGGTCAGGCTTTTTTTTGCTTTTTTTTTTTTTTTCTACATTGACTTGGTAATAGCACAGGAAGAGGATAAATACAGCACTCAAGGACCAAATAGTGATAGTCGTGGGAGAAGGTGTCTTCTTGAGGGTCGGAGGGTTAGGGGTGGGAGGGACGTGGCTGTTTGTCTTTTTGACAGCCTTCCTTACCGTTTAGGCCCACCCAAGAAATAAGCCTGTGTACTTTGTAAGATAGTGAACCTTGTTTACTGCAATTGACGATATACATACATATATACTGGGAGAGGCATTGCCTGCACAGGTGCGAGTTCAGGTGGGGCGGGGTGTCAAACATGGCTGTCTCTACCACCCCTCATGTCTGTACGCTGCTGTGGCCCTTCCTTGGGGAGCAAGAGGGTTCCGAGCAGGAGGACAGTTGGTTGCTTGGGTGGAACCCTCGTGGTCTTGTGATTGTAGTTGTCGCGATTGTGCAGAGCAATGCCTTTGAAGATGCCTTACGTGTCCTTGACCGAATTCGCGAACACAAAGTCAAAGAAAATGTTGAGGGTCGGGGGTCGTGGCGCAAGGACGTCTCTAGCCTGGCCCCATTGTCAGTGCTTGGTCGGCTGCGTGGCTTACGCGCACATTCTATTGTCTTGGGCGATGAAGAGAGAGTGCGCTCGGAAAATTGGGTTCGCAGCGAGCGGCAGCGTAGCGACATCTGGATTGAACTGAACAAAGGACCGGTGCTTGATCAGGTGTGGTGTTGTGGTTATGGTGTACAGCCGTGCCACCTGCACGTCATACGAACCGACCCTTGTGGAAAATACGCCAAATTGCCGACGGTGTTTAGTGCCACCGCCCGGTTTGGTTGCGACGGCATCGCGGAGCTCCTGCAGGGGAGGCAGCCCCTCTGCATCCCGGGGGTGCACTCGAGCCTGGAAGGTGTGTTGCTACCATCCCACATGGTGCCGTTGGCAGGCCCTTGCGTGAGCAGGCGGCTGGAACCGGAAAGCAGCGCCTTGTCACGGAGCTTCTTGAGGCGCGCCACGGAGGACTATAGCGAAAGCAACATTCCTGTGGATGATATTCTAAATAACGGCAGCAGTAGCTCACGGAGAGACAGGGAAAAATTGGATCAGCAGGGTTTTTTGTTGGAACCGGTGGATATTGAGCCGGTGCTAACATCGCCGGTGAATGGGTTGCCACCACGGCTTGATTTTCCCACGACTGCTGACTCTGCAGAGATGAGTCGTCTTCTGCGGTCCAACAATCGTGGCCGGGCATTGCGCAAGTACCTCGAGTGCTGCGGAGGAAAGGTTAAAAGCGGCGGCGGGAATGATGGCAGGGAAAAACATAATTCTGATCATTGCGACAGTAAAGAAATGGAAACAAATGGTACAAAGGCCTTAGAGAAGCAGAGCTTTTGGGAGCATTATCTGTACGTGTCTATTGGTGTGTTGTTATCCGTACTAATGATCTTTATTCCAGTGCTTACATTTTTAGGGAGGCTTTTCTGCACCGCCGCCCTGTTAGAATTTCGTCTCCGTGAATTAATTCACTGGCTTGCACTCCTACAAGGTCGCACGCATGTTTGCGGTCTCCATCCGGTGCTGCCTCACATGATACATGAGGATCCCACTTTCCAACGATTTTGCGCCGTCAACTTTCTCATTCGTTTGCTTGTTGATGGACTTTTGGGAACACTGGGGAGTCTTCTTTTAGCAGTTGGGGGAACAGCACTGATTACCAAGTCTGGAAGTTTCTGCAGGTACTTTTTGTACGATGTGCACATGGGGTATATGGAGTGGTTTGAGGGATGGCCAGCAGGTCTAAAAATGAACGAAGATCTAAATATGACGCTGTGTTTCTTTGCCAAATGGGTGCTACAAACAAGTTGGGACTTTGTGGTGGATTTTAATTGGGTGGAGCTAGTCTACAAACTGCTTGTGTACATTGCTCCATTTGGTGCTAGTTGCGCATTTGCTCTCATTTCTGATGTCAGCATACTTGTCTCACTGCATGTGCTACTGCTCTTCCACGCCATCTCTGTCCCATACCGGGTAATGCGGTCCGTGACGGGTAGTCTTTTCCTGCAACTCCGTGGGAAAAAGTACAACCCGCTTCGTCGCCGCACCGACACGTATGACTTTGAGGTGGACCAGATGCTGATGGGGACACTTTTGTTTACCGTCACGGTTTTTCTCTTTCCAACTTTAGCGGTGTATTACTTTTACTTTGCATTGGCTCGCGGCTTTATTTGGCTTGTGCAGGAGGGACTTGTGTCCGCCACACATATCACGTTGTATCTCCCGGTGTATCCTGTGATTTATTGGGCACTGAACCGATGGAAGTGGCCAGGCGGCTTTGCCATCACGACACCAAAAGTCACGCGCGTACGGTACCACGCAAATGGGACTGGCTCATCCCCGTGCACTTCGATAACCGTGGAAGTCACCGTTGTGTCAAAGCCCTTGGGACTTCATATTTTTTTGTCCGACTTTCTGCTGGTGCTTAAAATTCTTTCGGATCGGCGCCCATTCCGCATGTTGGAGGTTATTTGTCAAGCACAGGTTTGGAGGAATACCAACCCGTTGGAACGCCTCATCCCACACCTCCAGAAGGATTGCATCAATGCTGGTATTTGTATGCGGCCTGCGTCCACGGTGAAAACAACAACAGCAACAACAAAAGCTGCTGCTGCTGCTGCTGCTGCTGCTGCTGCTGCTACTACTGATACCATCTCTGCATCCTTCACCAATGCTTCATTTGTGGCAGAGACGGCAACTCCAACCACAAACGCTCCATCTCCATCCGTCACTTCGTCAAGGCACTGAGAGCCCCCTCCCCGCTTGGAGGCAGAGAAAAAAAAAGAGGCAAAAAAGGTGGAGGGATGATGGCATTGCATAAAAACAAAGCGAAAACGCCAAAAAAAAGAATGTATGCAGGCTGACTCACAGTGTAAACTTGACCCTTGGCACTTACTGGGTGTGTTATGGTGAGCCCGAATATATATTTTTCCTTTGTCTCTCTTTCTCTTTCTTTTTATTTATTTATTTATTTATTTATTTTTTCTTTTTTCTGTTCTTTCTTCCCTTTTCTGCTTGCTGGGAAAATTAAACAACACGGAATCAAAAAATAAATTAAAATAATAAAAAGAGGGATTGGTCAAATCAATTATATAAGGAAAGATATATATATACATACATACATATATATAATAAGAAATTTACCCAAAGGCATCAGCTGTCATAGGCCTCTTACAAGGAAGGAAGGTGGGGAAAAGGACCACAAGCGGGAGTTTTAAAGGCTCACTGCACGCATCAGCTGGAGCCAGTGAGTTGGGAGCAGCCACGCTCTAGGTGCGGAAAGGCAGGGGTTCACGACATCCCGCACCCGGGGGAGGGGGGGGGGGAAGCATCAACTGCGGGAAAAGCGTTGGTGGAGGGACAACCAAAAGAAAGGGAAACAAAAAAGAGAAAAAAAAAAAAAAAGAAAAGGCACGTACCGTTCACGTGGAGGCTCTAGAACAACAATAATCATAATCGTAGTCATCATAATAGGTCTTGTCACACCCAAAATTTGCTCCATTTCCCTCCAAAAGAAAAGAAAAAAAAGAAGAAAAGACGACCGACCAGCTCTGCAGAATTTCTCGGAAGGAAAAAAAGAGGGGGGGAAGGCGGGGGGGGAAAACTACAAAAGAAAAAAAAAAACAAAAAGAAGAAAACGGATTAAATTGACGTAAAAGCATAAAGTGCGTGAGTTCATTGCTGTTTGTGAGGAGCAAAAAAAAAAAATCAAAGCATATCCCCTTCGTTTCACTTCCTAGGTCGCGACTGCGGTGTGGCTAGGGTTTCTTTCTTTCTTTCTTTGCGTGTGTGTGTGTGTGTGTGAAAGGGGCGGGACAGTCGAGTAATAGCCTTTTTAAAAAAAGGAAAGCAAAAAAACTTAAAAAAAAAAAAAAGGTGAGGTGGAGGTTGGTCGTTGCTATTATTTTTGTTATTAGTTATTATTATTATTATTTTAATTCTCTTTTCTTATACTGTCATCGCTACGTGCATACTTACCTATACCGAAAACGAGAGGAAAGAAGTGTGAGGATCAGAGCGAGGCAAGAAGGAGAGTGAGAGAAGACGGGAGGAGGGGGGGAGGGGGAAACAGAAATTTTTTTTAAAAGGAGGAAAAGAAAAGAAAAAAGGGGGGAATAAACGCGAGTGAAAACGGAGGGAGAGAAGAAAAAAACTTTCTTCATAAGATATTGTCATTCCCCATGCATTCCAGGCGGGATGTTGACTCTGTGTCACGGGAACCGTCAAGTGATTTTCAGTACATTGGCAACTATGCCATGGGCGAGACCATTGGGAAAGGGAGCTTTGGGAAGGTGAGGAAAGGTCGTCACCTCCCAACAGGGGAAACTGTCGCTATTAAGATACTGAACCGTAACAAGTTGAATAATGCCAAAATGGGCAAAAGAGTCTATCGAGAGATGAAGATACTCAAACTTTTTTCCCATCCCAACATCTGCCGACTCTACGAGGTTATAACAACCCCTACCGACATGTATCTTATTATGGAATATGTTGAGGGCGGAGAGTTGTACGACTACATCGTGAAGAGGCGTATGTTGAAAGAAGATGTAGGCCGTTATATCTTGCAACAAATTGTCTGTGCATTGGAGTATTGCCATCATTTTCTTGTTGTGCATCGGGATCTTAAGCCGGAAAATATTTTGCTGGGGCCCGGGCTGCAGGTAAAACTCATTGATTTTGGACTTGCCAACATTATGAAGGACAATGAATTTTTGGCGAGTTCTTGTGGATCGCCCAATTACGCCGCTCCGGAGATTCTTTCGGGCAAGTTGTACTTTGGTCCAGAGGTGGATGTGTGGTCATGTGGAGTCATTTTGTACGCCCTGCTGTGCGGGTGCCTCCCGTTTGATGAAGAAAGCATCCCGCTTCTTTTTTCCAAAATCAAAAAGGGGCAGTATCAAATTCCTCCTCATGTCTCTCATGGGGCGCGAGAACTCATTGAACAAATTTTAGTTGTTGACCCCCTCATGCGTCTTACAATACCTCAGATCCGAGATAATGCGTGGTTTAACACAAATCTTCCCATGCGTCTTTCCTACAATGAAACTATTTTTTTGACGGGACAAAAGCGCATCTCGCCAAAGGTGGCAAGCCGGGCGGCGAAGATTCTTGGCATGCGCGACAGAGATTTGCGCGGTGAAATTGAGGAGGGCCATGGCTCCGGGTATGTTGCTTACAAAATCCTTTTGGATGCAGAGCGAGCGAAACAGATCATTGCGGAGGCAGAGTCGTTTGCGGTGGAGGATGACCTTTGGGGTGGCTCAAAACGACTGGCGACACATGTATCCAAGGCAACCGAACGTGAACTCAATCTTGGACTCCTCCTCACACAGAGTCCTGCCATGGAGACACTCCTTGAAGTTGGTGATGCCACCTCTAACAAACGTGCCTATAATTGCGGTAATTTTGTTCCAGCGTCGGTACAAGAAACAAAGGCGTTTGCAATGTCTGTGCATACACCCGTCTCTAATGGTACGTTCAGTATTTCGAAGCGGCCAGAATCCCTTACCGACGCTACTAATCCGTTTGGTTCGGGTTTTGTTGGAAGTGGCAGTAGTGTACAGCGTCCGTCTGCCCTTAGCACGAGCGCACGTCAAGGATCCAATACGAATCTCGCTGCAAGCGTGGGTGATCGTCAACACGTTGGGTCTGTCGCAAAGTCCCACATGGTGTACACGAAGGAGGAGGAAGAATTTATTGTGAGGAACAACGTTGGCTGGCGTCTTGGTTTGATGAGTGACTTCAACGCCGCTGTCTCGCAGAATGTTCTTTATAGCACTCTAACTTCCTTTGAGATGGAGTGGAAGGTATTGTCACCATTTCGTCTGCTGGTCCGCACAACACCGGGGACGTGGGCTAAAATTGGTCTCGCGCCAACAAGGTCACCGCTGACACCACTTTCGATGGATCCACCGGAGCTTTTGAATGAACATAGCCCAAATCCAGCAATTACTAGTTACACTGCTTCTCCTCCAAATGTGATTCTAGCCCTATACCTTCTTCGTATACACGAGAAGCATGACAGGGGGTACTTGTTGGACTTCAGCGTGGTGAAGGGTTCACTTCTAGCGCTTGATGTTGTGCTACGTCTTTCAACGACGCTCGTTCATCGAATGGGTTAATTCTTTTTTCACGAACCCGGTGAGGGGAGGAGGGGAGGGAATGCGCGAAGGCACCACACGGTGGGAAGGGGGACGGCAATTTTTTCGTTAAGAAAAGCCAGACGCAATCGTTTAAAGAGATATGAAGTCAAATCACAGGGTATATGAATATATACACACGTAAAAACCCCAGTGAGCGAGGAGAAGTGGCTGAGGGTTTGCAAGAACAAAAAAAAAAGGAAGGAAGGAAGGAAATAAATTCACTTTGGACCAAAGTACATGTATTTATGTATGCAGATATATATCTGTGTGAGAAGGTAAATGTACGTACGATATATATATCTGTGTATATATCTAAATATATACACACTGGTGGTGGTGGCGTGGGGGGGAGTGAGGGAAAAAAAAAAAACAGAGAAGGGGTGTGTGACTTACATTACCCCTGTAAAAATTTTCTTGTCTTTTTTGACCTTCAATTTGTTGAGAGGCATACGATTATTATAAATGATGAATGCTTTTATCGGCGCATAGACATTAATTATTTTTTTTTTTATATATCTAATTTTTATCACGGTCTTATGTGTTCTTCACGCTTCTTTTTTTTTTTTTTTTTTTTTTTTTTTCTAACCTCCTTACCTCAGATTTTTGCGTTTGTGCCTCACCATTAAATTTGCGTGTGCACAATTTTTTTGTTTTTGTTGTTTTTTTCACCCCATGGGGAGGATGGGAGAACATGTGGGAGGGGAAAAGCACAGAGAAGCAGCGAAAGTAGGGAGGAGTGGCTGGAGGGGTGTGGTCGCACACGATGCACCACACGAAGCAAGTAATAAACACCATTAAATGCAAAGAGTCACACTTGGAAGTGCGTAAACGCCGCCAGAGATATGTGGGTATATATATATATATATATATTGCGTGGGGCCGGGATGTATCCGAGAGGGATATGTACGTATGCGTGACGTCTCTGCTTTACGACTTCGTTTTTCTCTTTCCGTTTTTTTTTTTTTTTTTTTTCTCCCTTTTGGTGCTTTTCTCCCGTGGATCAGCCCCAAGCCGCCACACACGGACACACCCACACGAGAACGAAAAAGAAGTGGGACGATGTTTTTATTTTGTTGTCTTAGACTTCGCAACAGGAAATGCGATGGCGTCCCCAACGTGGGAAAGCTGCTTTACGGCAAGAGGAAAAACGCCATTCACACAACAAGCAAGGCGAAACCGTCTGTGGTGGGGCTGCTCATGCAAGTGCCAGAGTCGGAGTTGCGCCAGGCGGCATGGCGAGCTGCAAATGTGAAGGAGCTCAATAAATCAACTCTCTCAGAGGTGCTCAAAAAGTATCGCGCTGTCAACCGCCTTGACCGCTCAGAGGTGGTGGTGGCGGTGGCCGACGAGTTTTCTTTGGGGCTGACGTCATCACATTACTGTACCTTGATGGCTCATGCCAATGACAACAAGGACTACCAGACCGCTTTGCGCTACTGGAATCGTGCATGCAGTGAAAAGAAAGCCAATGAGAAGGTGCACGGTGCTCTTCTAGCCACGTATCGTGGTGCGAGCCGTTGGAAGGATGCGGTGCAGCACTACAATGCGATGCTCGAAGATAAGATAACACTTGATCCATATGCGCTTCATACAGTTATGAATGCGTGTCGAAGAGCAAATGCCTGTGATGTGGCAATTACAACGTTCTCCAAGGCAGTTCGCTCAGGGGCTTCCCCGAACAGTGCCGTTTATCTTGAACTTCTGCGGTGCATGCAGCAGCTGCGTAAGCCCAACCAATGGAAAATGAGCCTTGAGGTCCTTTGTTCCATTGAGGGGAAAGTGGATCTAACAGCTGGTCATTTCAACGCCACAATGGCGACAATGGGTGGTGCTCTTTGGACCAAAGGAGTGGAGTTATTTCAAACGATGAAGACAAAAAATGTGCAGCCGAGTAAAGAGACACTGTCGACATTGACTTTACTCAACCCGAACAATCTCCCTCACGCTGTGCAGTGTGTCGCAGAGGCTCACACGCTTGGGATGCCGATAACCGACGCCATGTACCGTGCGGTCCTCACAAACTTGTTTCGACTGAAACTTGATCATGAGGCGGTGCGGTTTGCCGAGCGGGAGTTCGGTAAATGCAACGAGGACCCAGGGAATCCTGTGAATGCATCGATATCACTAAGCCTTGCCATTATTGACGGACTTTTGGCACATAACAGACCTCAGGAGGCACTCCTATTCTTCTCTACATTTGAGACAAGGCTGGGCAATGTTGTGGGGTCCGCAACGCGCGGACTTGGCACCATTGGGCTTCGTTCGCAAAGGTGGATTGTTCAGGGGCGAGTGGCCGTCGTCGACCACAACGTCCTTCTGGACCCGCGTTGTGAGTCTCTTTTTTCCCATTATGACTCCATACTTGTGCCCTTTTCGTCCATTCGGCTCCTTGTACGTCGGGTGCGGGAGTTATTCGGCACGCTGAAAGGGCGTTACACGAAGCAGAGGCTAAAGCGACTGCAGGAGTTGACGGCCGATCAGAGTACTCCAATGCGTGTCTTACCAATGGCGCATCAACTCATCGCCCACACTTACATCGTGGATGGACCTATCACATCCGAGTCTGTCGAGTGTTTACGCGAAACGGCACGAGAGAAGAAAGACGAAGATGAGCAGCTGCGAGAAGAGCAGAGGCGTCTCACAGAGTCGTTTTTTATCCGTAAAAGGGATGCACTTTTCTCCAAAGATGGTTTTGTTGCTCGAGTTTGTGGAAGCAGCATCAACGAAGGGGCAGATGTGGCTGTTGTAGTGAAACCGGGCGAGACCCCTGTTGTCAGCGGCAGTGGTCCGGTCGTGCTGAACAGCCCGGACCGCATGAGTGCCCCAGAGCGTGTGCTTGCCGTGGCTGTGATGCTCAAATCTCTAAACCCCGACTCTAACGTGCACGTTGTCTCACCAAATCCCGTACAGTTGCAGGTAGTGGAAAAGTGGAACCAAATGCATCCCGCCATACCTCTGACGATGGTTCGTTACCCTGAAGAAGTCACTTTGAAGGCACCGGCAGAAGAGCAGCAGCAGCAACCCTCTTTTGACAGGAGTAACGAAGAAGTACCCGTAACAAAAAAGGCATCTTGCGATCGGGTGCCTTGGCATGAAAGAAGGCCTCTCTTTTTTCCGTCATGATACGAGCGCCATGTTTGTGTACGGAAACAAGTTCACATCACCAGCAATTGTTGCCCTCAGTGGAATGGCATATTCACATCATGCGTAAAGCTACAGGGGAATGAGTGTGAGGGGGGAACCGCCTGAGGAATTAAAAGATGGATTTAACTGATATTGGATTTGTATTCTGGTTTCAATTTGTCGTTGTTGTTTTCGTTGTTGTTTGCCTTTCAGGGCCCGTTTTTTGATTTTCTTTTTCCTTTTCGCCTTTTGGCTTATGTGCTTTTACGCAAAAACCCCGTGACGAAAGGAGTTGATGGAAGCCCCATGCGATACGGCGGCCTTGGGGTATCCCGAGACATTCACTGGGGAATTTATTCGCTACTGTCTCGTCCACCATCTCCCGCCGTTGCTATTTCATGACCTCAGCGAGGTGCTGGAAAGGATTCCACGGTATATTCGTGTGCGGCCACAATACATGCTAAAAAACATAGTGATGCCCCCAGAGGATAACAACGTCGCTGGTGAGGTTGCAGCCAGACAGGAGAGATGCCAAATCAAGGCTCAGATTGCGGCTTCTTTTGGTGTTTCCTCTGCCAGTGTAGAGGAGGTGGAGTGGCTTCCAAATCCGTATTACTACGCCGTTCCTCGAGGTGTGGCAATGAGCCGCGCGGCCATTTACCAAATTGGCATGGTCTCTGCGATGGATGCGGCTTCCGTGGCGGCGGTGGTGGCGCTGCGTCCGTGTCAAGGGGACCTGGTGTGGGATGTATGCTGCTCTCCCGGAATGAAACTGAGCCTCATTGCGGACGCCATTGGCGAAACAGGAGTGGCAGTTGGGACGGACATCAATTTGAATCGTTTGTTTACTGCAAGATCAGTACTCAGGAAACATCAAGCAGGGAATGTGTGCCTGTTTGCCGCAGACGGGACGTCTTTTACCCTGCATGAAGCTGCCGCAGCTCTCGACGAAATGATATCATCCGGGAAACCTGGAGGCAACGGCTTAACGCCGTGGGAAGAGCGGAAGTTGCGGCGGTTTCGGAAGCGACGACATGAAATGAGTGTGGAAACCGCGACGGCATCCATTGGCATGAAAGAAGAAAGGGAATTGGCGGTAGCATTTTCCACGGTGCATGCACGAGAACGGATTTGCTGTATTGAGAAATGGAAGAACGAGCATCAAGGATTTGACCGGGTGCTTGTTGACGCCGAGTGCTCGCATGATGGATCATTAGCACATATCTTTTTCAATGACGCTACAAGGAAGCCGTTTTCTGCCGCCAAAGCCACGCCAATGACAGTTTCCTCTGGGATTGACAATGCACACCGCATGCAGCGGCTGCACTTGGCCCTTCAATCGGATGAAAAGGAGGCAAAGGTTCAAGAGGAGTTGTCACCTCTTTTACAGATCCAATTGAATCTACTTCGAAACGGCTATTCACAGTTGAAACCGGGTGGGACACTGGTGTACTGCACATGTTCTTTTACATACGAGCAGAATGAATTCATTGTGCGTGAAACCGTTTCTCGTGTAAACTCCAGCAACGACATAAAGCGGCAGTACAACGGCGAGGCCGTGATACGACACCCCTTTCTATATACGCACGAAACAGTGAGTCTGGAAGCGATATCGCCGATCGTGCGTCTAACAGATGCGCAAGCAGCATCTTTGCAGGAAAGGTTAAAAATGGATCCCGATCCGTACGGAATTCTTTGTGCAGAGGTAAGGAATGAGGAAGAAGCGACCTTCACGGGCGTACGCCTCTGGCCTCGCAACTTCGCCACCAGCTTCCAGTTCATTGCCAAGATATGGAAACGCCCATTGTGTTCTTCAAACACCGAGTAAACGGCGAGACCCTTCAGCGTTTTTGCCTCTTTGTGTATCTTTTGGTGTGCGTGTGTTTTTCTGGTATTTCCGGAGGTTTTGTTTTTTACCCGGTGCTTTACCGTTGTTTTTCTCTTTTTTATGTGTTTTTTGTGTATTACACGCAATTTCGCTTTCAATTCTTTTTTGTTATTTTTGTTTGTTTATTTGTTTTGGGGGGTGGTTGCTGGGAAGAGCGTGGGGAGGGTTGTGTGGGCAGCGGAAGGGGACGGAGGGCGACGATGCGTCGGGGATTTAGAGCGGCGTCAATGGCGTGTGCACAGCCGTGCCAGGCGGTGCCGCTATTTTCTCCGTTTGGTGAAAACCTCCACATGTGGCGTTTCTCAGCGCTTGCATTGCACCACCAACAGCAATTCCGACGCCTGGCGTCGCTAGTGGCCGGAGGGGCGAGGGACGATAAAAAAACCCTTGTTGCCTGCTCCGTTGTTGCCCACCAACGCCCCGTGTTGGCTTCCCCCACACAAGTCGTGGATGTCACGTTCTGTGCGACGGGGGTAAATCACGCCCTCCATCGCCAATTTAACGCCGGCAAAACGCTTAAAGGTATTCTTAGGGGATGCGCAGAGCAGAACGCGCTTGGCGTCGCAGCTGCAAGTGGTCAACGCTATTCGGCAATCACCGACGTGTATTTATACGCATTACCTCCGCAGAAGCCGTGTCCACTCCATGCCAGCAACAACTTGCACAGTCATCCCGGCCATGGAACCAAACCCGTTGATGAAACCTATTGCGTTTATCCAATAGAATCCCTAAAAGGGGCTGTGTTTCCCTGCCCGGAGTGCTGGCGAAATCTCTCCGCCGTAGCAGAAATGCGGCACGATGACGGAGAGAAGGGGCCGTTGAACTTGTTTGTCCAAGCACAAAATGAGACTTCAGCTATGTGGAGTGTTTCTGTCGCCAGGAGATGCCTGATGTCTTCTCCAACCCCTGCAATAGTTGTCACAATAGTGCTCCCCGAATAACGCGTGGTGTGTGAGTTTATAAGTATTTGCATATAATTTGCGTTCCGTACGTCATGCTGTGGCCTCTCTATCTTTTTTGTGGAGTAAAAATTCCGGACACCGTGAGGGGGTCTGGAAGTGTTATTTAACTTACATATTATTTTTTTTTTGTCTGTGTTTGTGTTGGGATGAAAGGGAAAGAGGGGGATAAAACATTGCAAGAATCGAAGGGAACCTGGAAAATAGGGGAAACAACAATTGAGCACTAGGCTTCTTACTTTCTTGGTCGTACCATTTTGACGCTTTGGCCGCATGTATCATGCAGGGTCTGCGTCGTGGAACCATTTGCTCCCCGAGCCGCAGTCCTCAACGCCGGCCACCTGCTCCTCAGTGAAAATGACAGCGCCAATGCCATTTCACAACAGAGCGAGGGAGAAGGAAGAAAATGGCAGCGAGCCTGTCGCCCAAATTAAGGCAAACGACTGGGAAACAGAAGCCCTCCGCCGATACAGAAGACTAAAGAGCAGTCTGACAAACATCTCCTCACAGCCCGAATACCTCTCGTCCAGTGCGAGCAATGGGGCTCTTTTGCAACTGATACTGCGCTCTAAACTGTTACCAATCACAGATTGGTGCAAATGTGCGCAAGTAATGGGGAGTTGGTTTCAAGGGCCTAGGCCTCTCCCTCTGGGGCTGCTTTCCTACGTTTTGACTCATCTTATCATGACACATAAATTGACGCCACACAGAGCCGCGAAATGGATTTTGGAACTGAGCAAAGTACTTCTCGCTGGGGATACCGATGCCGGTGAGCCATGTGTTTTGCTTCCCATCAGGAGTTGGGACGTTGCGACGGCGTTGGAGCGCTCCGTTTACATCTTGCAGTCCACGGAACCCTCATCGTTTAATATCATCTCCGCCGTGCTGCTTGACCTTCTGCTGGATGAAATACTCCCAGGAGGAGCTGCGCCAGAGTCGTGGGGACTTCTACCCCTCTGTTTTCTTTTAAAACGCAACAAGGAATTCATGCAGTCCGAGTGGGAAAGGGACAAGAAACGGCATTGCGCTCGCATGAAGCGTGCGTGCATACCGGGAAGTGAACTTCCCATACACATTGTGGCGGTCCTCACTGCCGTCGTATGAGCAGTTATTGGCTGTACCACAGAGAGAGTTTGCTTGTTTGTGTGTGTGTGTGTGTGTGTGTGTGTGTGGCGTGAACGGTGTGTAAATACATGGACTAGAGTCATGTTGCTCTTACTTGTTGACACTCCCCACAGACATTTGTTGTAATAATTGTTGCTCAGTCTTTTTCACAGATCACACGCCTGCTGCGGATGCTTTGTCTGGCATCCGGAAAGTTTTTTTTGTTTTTTTGCGTGGAGCAGATAAATCAATATTGTAATTTATGCGTTGTTCCAAAGCCAATTATGGCATCGGACATTTCCCCCCGCTGCCATGCGTTAGTTTATGTCACCGACCGCCAGGGTAATAACGAAGAGGGATATTGCGGCTGCCACGGAGCACACAGACACACACAGAGAAACACACACTTATACTCGTTAGGTTACACACACACCGACACTTCTTTATAAAGGAAAAAGGGATATCAGTTTGTTTGTTGTTGTTGTTTTCCTTTGCATTCAGTTGATTGTTGGTAGTTCATTACGCATTCTGGAGGAGACGATGCGGAGAAAAACTTCTCGAAAACACGACAACGCCACCCTCACGGTTTCCCTAAACGGTATTTGCAAGCAAGCGGATTTTCTTCTATTAACCTGTGTCTTTCACAAATTGAAGAATTACGTCCAACTGAGACAGCAAGACACACATCTCAAGAGATGTGCAGTACTTCTGAAGCATCAGGCCATCAAAAAGATTGTGACGGATCACTTTGTCCGTTGGCTCGGCAACACGCAACGCCAAATCAGCATCCGGTCCGGACAACGTGAGCCCACAAAGATTGTTGTACTTCCTCGAGCCCAGGACTTTATCAATTTGGGTCTTCGTTACCTGGCGCGATGGCGCCTTTGGCTCCGATACCTGCGGCAGCGACAGCACCGGAATGTGACGCTTCTTCACGACAAGGTAACGGAGGTCAGGCACCACAAGTTCTTTTTTAAGTGGTACTGCTTTCTCTCCCAGGAGCAAAAAAAGAGCTTTTTGTTAAGGATTCATGAGCTAGAATCTGAAAAGATGCTCCGAGCCGAATACATCGCAGAGCTGGAAACTACACTCCAAAAACAGGAAAAAAGCATCAATAATCTCACAAAAGACGCAGAAAAACTTCAGGAGCAAAAAATAAGGCAACAAACAGAAACCAAATGCATCAAAGAGGCAATGGAAATGGCAATAACAAAACTTGAAAAGAAATCTACTGAGGTGCCGGGTACCAAAACACTACATGCAGCCGAGGAGATGGCTCGGTATGGGGATGACGTGCCCCTTCGATTGCTGACTAGCTGTATGGATGCGGCCAACGCTCTTGAGAAGCTTCGGAAGGCACTGCCAGACGGCTTCGTGTCTTCGGACGGGAAGGAAGGCATCGCAGACGTCATTTGTCAGCAGACGAAGGCGCTACAGGGGTATACCAGCAGGATGGAAAATGAGCTTGCTGCCCTGCGCAGCTCCGACAAGGAACTGCGGCAGCTGGTGGAGGATCTCCGAGCACATGACGAGCGGTGGGAGCTCAACCATAAACGCACGGCGAGGGCCGCCAAAACTCACCAGAAGCGGCAGCTGGAGGGCAGTGACTGGGGCACCGTGCTGCGGTCCAGGCCGGTGGAGCTGCAGCGTGCGCTCATCACCGATGCTGCGGACGCATGCCACGTTGAACCGGAGTGCATCACGAACGTTGTCATGGCGGCGGATGGACTTCTGAGCTTTGACGTGCAGCATGACCCCTCGGTGAGTGCAGAGGAACTCAGTGGGCGAGTCAATGAGTACCCGTTCCGCACCGCGAGACGGGTGTACCAACGCCGTACCGCACCTAAGGATGGCTTGGACCTGTTAGAGGAGCAACTTGCAGAAAAGGAGCAGAAGGTGGTGGAGCTTCGTGGGTTTATGGAGATGGCCGTCACGACTCTCGGGAATCCGGACGCCGCGCCGCGGGTGTCTGAGGTGCGAAGTGCAGCCGAGGAGATGGCTCGGTATGGGGATGACGTGCCCCTTCGATTGCTGACTAGCTGTATGGATGCGGCCAACGCTCTTGAGAAGCTTCGGAAGGCACTGCCAGACGGCTTCGTGTCTTCAGGGGAATTTGACTCTATTGTGGATGTTGCGTGCAATAGAGCCGCTGAACTGAATGATAAGGTTGTACAGTTGTTGAAGGAATTGCAGGATTCCAAGAGTTTTGCAGTATTTTTGCGTGAAGTCTTGCAGGAGGGAGCGTCAAGGATTTTGTTGTTGGCCAATTACACGCCTTTTTCTCACCCACCATCTCTATTTAAGACATTTGACGAAAAGGTTGCTTCGCTGTCGTGGTGTGGCTCAGAAATCAATCTTGATGCGTTTGAATGCTCCCCCGATGCAAGAGATTCTCTGGATGTCGTGAAGGATCACTTGTTGCAAGATCGTAGTCTGACAGCCAATGGGCCCTCTACAGCGGGTGTGCTACGCTCTTTTAATGGGGCTTTGGGGCAGATGTATGAGATGCTGACGAGATGCAAGGAATTCTTCTTGGAGCAGGAGAAGTTGGCAGGGCAGGAGGGAGAGAAAAGAGTGTTACTGGTCAAAGCTGTGAAAGACGCCGTCGCGGCGCTACAGGGATGGTCAGTTGCGTCCGGTGGTGTTGCCACGGAAGGGATGGATGAACTGCAGCTTGTGACAGATATGAGGCAAGAGAGCGAGGTGGCCTCCAACACACTTGCACGCTTGCGGCAGCTATTGAGTGGGGAGGCAGTGGAGAAGAAGGTGGGCTCTGGTAGCTTGAACGAATTGCGCGGTGGCGAGTCCCTTATTGTGCAGTTGCCTGTTATTGAGACGCATGAAGATCTCTTAAACGCCGTGTCGAAAGTGTACGACCGGCTCCAGGAGGTCGGCAAGGCGTACAATGATATTTACTCTGCATTTATTCAATTTGCTCAAGAACCCTCTCCGATTATCAACGACATGAGTGGGAACGTCAGTTCTGTAGCACCGCCAACGAGCCTTTCTTATGACCCGGTTAAGCGAGCCGAGTTTGCCATCCGTGGTGTGCACAGCTACATCGAGGGGAAAGGACGGGAAGTGAAGGAGCTTCGAGGTGTGATGCGTCGTGGCATTGTGGCTCTTGGCGGTGCCGGGGAATCCGATACTGACGACGATCTCATGGACCAGCGGAGGAGTGCGGCGAAGAGTACGGCGGTGGGAGAGAAGCTCGCAGTGCTCTGCCGTGAAACCGGCGACGCCATCGAGGACACCAGAAAGGCACTTGGGATACCGAATGAAGGCAAGTTAAGGCTACCGGCAGTGATCTCCAACCTAGAGGGAAAAATGCAGGAGCTGGATCTTGTCACGATGGAGTCTGCATTGCTGGTGAGGGAGGTAAGAAGCACCCCTACCGATACACAAGAAAGCTCTTCAAACCTATCGCGAAATCTGAGACCCAAACGGAAGCCAGCAGCACTGGTGGTAGATGATTTGAAATCGGGTTGGACGAACGGGGTGAGGCCTCTCCATCCAAGTCTCTCTTCCGCTGAGGCAGGAACACCCAATTTGAAACCCGATGAGCTCCTTCGGCAGATGCGAATTGAACTACAGGATAAGAATGCTGAAATACGGGAGATTTTCGGGGCTTGTCGCACAGTCGTCAGTCTTCTCGATGGCTCTTACAAGGCGAATGCTCAACCGCCGCAGTGTGGGGGTGCACTTGTGCCGCTCCTCACCACACAAGCTGAGGAATTGGAACGGGCACTGCGGCTTGCAGAGGAAGTTCTTTCTTCCTTTGAGGTGCAGGGTAACAGTGGCGTCGGCAACTACCTCACGCTGCTTGCGTCGCAGTTAGCATCGCTACGCATCGAGAAGGAAAAACTACAAGATGAAATGAACAAACACAAAACGGAAAACACACAGCTGGTGACTGAATTTAATGAGGAAATTAGTTGCCTTAAGAAGCAAAACGAAATCCTGCTCAAAAGACTGAAGTCCCTGCAGGAAAAACTGGGGGCACTTAAAAAATTACGGCAGCTTCGAGCAAAAAAGATGATGGAGATATTACGCTTGAGAACAGTAAAAGAACACCTCGGTAGAAGTGTAATATTGTGGTTAGGAAAAGTCGTTGCCACGTGCACTGCAGAAGCACGCGGCGCCGCTAATGAGCAGAAAAGGCTTTCTATTGCCATTGTCCAGAAGCAGCATCAGCAGAACCAACTTGCAAAATTACTCGCAATTGCCCTTCACTCGCTGCCAGGGGAAAAACCAACAAACGCCGATGTGTTGGACACAGAGAATGCATTGATGCAGTGCGCACTGGAAGACGAAGGTGCCGCTCTTGAGGCTTTTGCGCGGAAGCGACTCGATGCGGCCAAAGTGTGGATGCAGTCATTTTTAAGAGCCCTTTCCAGTGTGGTGTCGCTTCGGGCGGATACCGTAGCTCTCCGCCAATCGATAGCAAATTGCTGGCGTGGGAGATTGGAGGAGGCGTACGGCCAGGTATTGAACGCAGCCTTTAAGGAGATTGCGGATTTTGACAAACAGAAAAAAATGGAGTGTGAATTCCTGCGGAATCGTGCGCGGGACCGGGAGGAGATTGCGCGTGAAAACAGGAGTCTTTCCTGTGAGATTGCTGGTATGAAGGAACAGTTGGGTCTGGCGCAAGATTACATGGAGTTGCAGGACGAAAAAATTATCAAATTACAACGGGAGAACAGGGACCTCCGGATTAGCTGTGTGTTACGCCGGGAGGAGAAGGAGAGCAACACTTCCACCGATGTCACCCCCTCAAAAAGTCTCCGTGGCGGTTCCGGGGCGGAGCGCATAATGATTGCGCGGGCAAAAAAACTGGCGCTAGAAGCGATCAACGCCATGGCGGGGAAAAACGTGGCGGCGTGCATTGGGGAAGTGGCTGAGCTCACGCTGGAGATGTACCGTCGCACCTCAGCCGCTCTTGAGGACATCTGCAACGCCCAGAATGCGCCGCTTGGTCCACTTTCTGCAGTGGTAGAGGCACGGCTGCAGGAGCTACAAAATATGCGTGGTGTTCAGAATAATATTTTGGCGCGCCTTCCCGAGTTATTTCGGGTACCATATGTCAATTGATCTTTTTGGGTTGCCTTTAATTATGTAGTGTATTGTGCTCTCTTTCTGTGTACGTTTTTTTTACTTTTTTTTCCCTCTCTTTTGGTTTTATTTCTTCCTGTCCGTTTGATTGCCGGAGAACGGACGCTGTGCACATCCCGTCGTAAGTGTCTACGGGGAAGCGTGTCTTTATTGATTTTTCCTGGCATTTCTCATGCGTTGTTTCCATGTATTTTTTTTTTATTAAGGTACACAGTGGTGGTCAGGCTCGCTGACGCAACGATGGATGGTGGTTGTAGACACCACATTGGAAGAGAAATATTGGAAAAGCACGAAGAAAAGTAATATGCACACGCATTGCTACATTTTGTAGGGGAGGGTTTTAGGGGAAAATGCGTGGCATCGGAAATTTAAGGCACACACGGCATTGAATGAAGGGTCATTCTCATTGGCCGTTATTATGCTGTGATCTTTTTCCACTCTTTAGCTGCCGCTGATGAGGAGCCTGGGTGTAGTGCGCTCCGCAATGCGTGTCCATTGTGTCCACGAAAGACCTCGCCGGGAGTGTTATCATTCTCGGCAGACTGTAGCGCGTGAGCCACAATATGGGTGGGGATTGGATTTGCTGCTACTCCCCCTGCAGAGTTTGTTAATGCGGTGCGATACCGGTTGGATACATTTGCAATCCGGTAGAATGTTGGCGCAACGCCTCATGCGTGGGAGCAATGGGAGGATTGTTTTTGATGATGATGATGACGTGAGGACTGTTTCTTTCTTTTCTTCTTCTTTTTTCTCGCATTGCATGGCGGGGCGGGGCGGGACTTGCATTCCTATTGCGTTGTCTTCTGGACCCGGAAGGTGACACTGGGCCCGGTTTTGCTAGAGTAATCCTTTTAGTCTAAAACCCACAAAGGAGCAAAAAAGAAAAGGAGAAAAAAAATCAGACGGATGAGTCTGTGCGAGAACTGCAATTTGGCGAATGAGTGCCGTGGCATCCAAGACATTGAAGATTCAAAGGCTTCGGCATCAGAGTTCCACTACGAGCCAATCTTCCAGCCTTCTGATCCGCACCACGACGAGACAGAGTACTACATGCTTGAAGGCGATTATATTAAGACGGTGGAAATTCTTGGGAAAACGATCTTGCAAGTAAAGCCGGAAGCACTCACTGCTTTGGCGCAACAAGCCTTTGCCGACGTACATCACTTCTTCCGTAAGGATCACCTTTTTGGATGGCGACGCATTCTTGAGGATCCTGAGGCCTCAAATAATGATCGCTTTGTCGCCCACACGCTCCTGCAGAATGCCTGTGTTGCTGCTGGTCGTGTCCTTCCGGCATGTCAGGATACGGGGACGGCGATTGTCCTCGGCAAACGTGGCGAACTCTGTTGGACGGGAGGAGAGGACGAAAAGCACCTTTCCAAGGGTATTTGGGACTGTTACATGAACCGGTATCTGCGTTACAGCCAGACGGCGGCGCTTGACATGTTTAAAGAGGTGAACACTGGAAATAACCTGCCGGCACAGTTTGACCTGTTGGCGACAGCTGGAAATGAGTATCACTTTCTCTTTATTGCAAAGGGTGGGGGCAGTGCAAATAAGGCCTTCCTTTACCAAGAGACCAAGGCACTGCTGAATCCCAAGTCTCTCAGGGAATTTATTGAGCAGAAGCTTAAGACCCTCGGCACGGCGGCGTGTCCCCCGTATCACATTGCTCTTGTCATTGGCGGCACAAGTGCGGAAATGACGATGAAGACGGTGAAGCTCGCCAGTTGTCGCTATTACGACTCTTTGCCCACAACTGGCAACAAGAATGGTCGTGCTTTCCGGGATCTTGAGTGGGAAGCAATCGTGATGGATATCGCCTGTAAATCTGGTATTGGAGCACAATTTGGGGGAAAATACTTTGCTCATCAAGCTCGTGTCATTCGTCTACCTCGCCATGGTGCGTCGTGCCCCGTTGGCTTGGGTGTCTCCTGCAGCGCGGACCGTCAGATTCTTGCAAAGATCACACCAAAGGGTGTATTCGTGGAGCGGCTTGTGCGGGACCCCGCACAATACCTGCCAGACTTACCACCCTCCTCTCTGAGCACGAACGTGGTGAATGTCAATCTGAACCAGCCGATGAGCGAGATCCGCAAGCTGCTCAGTCAGTACCCTGTTACCACCCGCCTCAGTCTTACTGGGACTCTCATTGTGGCGCGCGACATTGCCCATGCGAAGATCATGGAGCGTTTGAATAACAACGAAGAACTTCCTCAGTACATGAAGGATCACCCGGTGTACTACGCCGGCCCAGCGAAGACTCCAAAGGGAATGGCCTCCGGCTCCTTTGGGCCCACAACAGCAGGTCGTATGGACTCTTACTTATGCCCCTTCATGGCCGCCGGTGGAAGCTTTGTCACGCTTGCAAAAGGGAACCGCTCAAAGGCGGTGACAGAAGCGTGCAAGAAGTACGGTGGCTTCTATCTTGGAAGCATTGGAGGATCCGCGGCTATCTTGGCGCAGAACAATATCAAGAACGTTGAGGTTGTGGAGTTCCCAGAGCTTGGGATGGAAGCGGTGTGGCGCATCGATGTGGTGGACTTCCCTGCCTTTATTGTCGTTGATGACAAGGGCAATGACTTTTTTTCCAAACTCCTTTAATGTTTCTATGCAAATATATACTTATATGTACACTTCTATATAAACATAAATCTCGCTCTCCTGTGGATGTAGAGAAAGAAGAAATGGATTGGTTTCTGTGAGCTGGACGAAAATAAAGGGCCGGAAGTGAGTTGCGTAAACGCTGCTCGTACATGTCATTTTGTAATTTTCCAAAAGAAGAGGGAAATGAGTGAAGACTATACACACAAAAAAAAAAAAAAACCACACGTATAAGCATTTGCACACGCGTACAGGAAAATAAAATAAGTCTTGTTTCCTATCACCATCCATATGACTTTCTTTTCAGATTTCAGTAAAGATAACAATGTAGAAATTAAAAAGAAACAAAAAAAACGAGAAAAACGGGTGTTTGTGCGGGCACTCACACGCACAAAAATGTGAAAGAAAGGGAGGGAGAGGAGAAGCGGGTGTGTGGCATTCCAAGGCGAGCGTTGATTCCCCCCCTTGTCAGGTGTGACACAACAGTCAGCAGACGTCCCGTCAGTCACACCCCGCTTGAGGTGAGGTTGAAAAGAAATAAGTGGTGGATTGGACAGGAGAGAACGAGAGAGAAGGGTGGTGGTGTTGTTGCCTCCTCGCGCGTATTTATAGCCCTACTTCCCCCAGCATTACATTCACGCTTTTTTCTTATTAATTTTTCACAGTTTTTATTTTTATTTTTATTTTTTGTTTGCTTGTGTGTGTGTGTTGTTGTTGTTTTTTTCTTCTTCTTCTTTTGATTGACGTGATGGGAGGGTAGGGGAGCGGGGGTGTTGAAGGCTCTTGCATCTTTTCTTGCCGCTTTGAGTTCATTCTGCGACGCCGCCGCCGCGCGCTATGAGACCGGGTGGGTGCACGCGAGCCGTGTGGGATGATGACAGGCAAGACCACATCTTTTGGCGGTGTGCCGAAGAAACCACAAAGGCGCATAATTTTTCCCGTTTATTTAATTTTTGGAGTTAAGCTTCATTTATCTCCCGTATCATCTCTTTTTGTTGTTGTTTTCTGCGGCTAGGATCCTTGCCGAAGCACATTCAGGGGAATTAAGGCTCAGGCGGGACTGCAGGAAGCACAAACACACCGACAAGGGCATAAATAAAAGTCATGCAGCCATCCATGTTGGCGCATGACGGGAAGAACGCGCCACGAAATTCCCTTTCATCGTCTTCTTCATTTAAGACCGTTTCGTCTTCCGCCTCTTTAGGCGATGACGTTGGAAGAATGGGCATGCTTCTTAAAAATGAGGCGCTGCAAACATTGTTTCAAGATGTGAAGCCCACGAATGAGCCCGTTGCGCCAAGGCAGCCGGGTGTCTTGCAGATTCAATATTCAAGGGCCTTTGACTACGTTATGGGCCTATATCGAACAATGAGCGCGAAATTTAGTGGCATTGGCTCCCCTTCGTCAGCGAGGTGGTTTCTTCTGACAGCATTTGTGCTATGCCAGTGCAATGGACACTACACTGGGTGGAAGGACCGCCGTGACGTTGTCTTGGAATCCGCTCGCCTCCTAAGCTCAACGCGGGAGGATTTACTGGTGAAATGGGGGACCAAGGAAGAGAACAGTTCCGGGAACGAAGAACGTTTGGAGAAACTCATGCCCCTTGTGGAGAATTGGCTGCCGGCGGAGGCGGAACTAAAAGGGCCTACCGGATCGTTTAGCGAGTGGCGGGCGGTACGGTGGGAATTAAACGCCGTCAAGTGCTTTAACTTGAACAATCATAAAAACTTCCAGGTGTGGCATCACCGAAAGGAACTGCTCCTAGAAGCCCTTGCACGTACCGATTCTCCGTCCCGCACGTCGGATCTCGCTTCCATGGGTCTTTTCGATAAATATCTGATTGAACATCATGGCGTTCATTTCAGGGATATTGATGAGCGGTCTCTTTGCAATGAGGTATTAAATATGGACCATAAAAACTATCATGTGTGGTTGCATCGATTGTGGTTTGTGCACGCCTTTTATTTTCTTGTCCAGCCCCCATCGTGGACGGCGCTGTTGAATAGCTACGCCGCAAGTGCCGGCCAGCGTGAGAAGAGCACAGCACCTCTGCGACAATTTGTGGTGCAAGAAAAGTGGGAAGAATACTGCCTGGAATCCAATATTCCTCCGTGCGGTTTGAAAGACGAGCTAGGGTATACTGCAGTACTCATAAGAGATGATAACCTCAACAACTCCGCGTGGTGTCACCGTTTCTACCTGTTTGACCACGATCTTATTGGTGTTTTGTTGCAAACGAGTTCACAGCACCAACCGAATGATGTGGAGAAGGTGTTGCGTGAGTTATGCCTTGATGAAATGCATTATGCGTTGCAGTGGTGTGTTTATGAGCCATGTAACGAGTCTTCATTTGTTCACGCCCGGGGTGTTGCGAA